AAAAAATGGAAAACCATTGGAGACAAAAGGTCCTGATTCCCTCATTCGCCCTTCGCCGTACACTTACTACGGATGATCAAACTTGCTAGCTTGAAGCTCTGTCAGGTTCGATCATCCGGAACAAACAAACGAGCACGTACGTTAAGATAATTTGGATTTATTTATTATTGAGTTGATAATGTAAATTGGCTACGTTAGAGAGTTTCAAAGCTGACGTTTCGAGTGTTAATAAACAAACACGTGTGTTGACATATATTACTTGGTTTTATTTATAACTGAGTTTATAATTTAAATTGGCCACCTTAGAGAGTTTCAAAGCTGACGTTTCGAGTGTTAATCCTTCGAGTGTTATATAATGAAGACGGTGAACATGACCATACCAGTTCTTCAAAACCAAGAATGTCGTAATACACGTAGCTATAATGAATGAAAACTTTTGCTTGTCAGCGATTGATCTAAACGGTTCACATTATTTGTTCCGAGATGTGAACAGTTTTCCGAGCAAAATTTGAGCTATCAATAGAAAAGAAGAAAATCTAAAAAATTTTGAAAATAGATTAAGATACTACACTATTATTATCATTAAACAGACAAGACCACTATTTATCTAAAATTTAGGAAAAGTGGACTCCTGTTCATCTCGGTGCCAGAAGTTATTACGACTTGTCTCCTTTTATTTTACGGAATTCTACGATGGCAAAACTTTTCATGTGAAATAATTTTTCCTAAAATCTCAACAACAACAGATGGAAACGATCTTTACAATCTCTTTGATTTTAACTTGATCGTTAAAAATGAAACAGTTAATTATGGGTCATATAGGCCGAAATCGTGGGCGTGTCTGTGCAATGACCTTTAGTAGGTCGACAGAGCCTCTACACATAATGCAATTTTCAAAGAATTCAAAGTTTTGAGTCCTCAGAACAAGAATCCACCACCACGATGGAGGTATTGTGACTATCATCCAAGCTGTGGCCTGACGTTGCTTTGACCCCCGATGGACATTGGTTAACTTGAACATCAAACGGCGATTGGCCGTGTAGAGCCTCAACATCTTCTGAAACTAGAAGAACAAATTGACAGAAGAAGGTTTCGTTGACAACAAAGACAACCACGTGTAATACTGACTAACAAACCTGAAGCTCCAAGTTTAAAACCGTCTTATTAAATGAGCATGGATAGCAGTATTACATGGACGCAAAACTATAACGAGGTAAATGAATTTACACAGGCTTGTGTTACTTGGTAAGATTACTAGTTTAAACAAAGGAACGGCTTAACACCATTGCGTCAGAGGGTAATTCAGAGTATTTGTAGTTATTCTCCTTACGTTACCCATGTTATATACGTCTAACAGCTGGACAATGTACTTACCTTTACTTTTGCAGATAAAGTTAGATGGTTGGAAAAACAAAACCAGCAAGAATGCCACGAGAGTTAATACTCCAGGCGCCATTAGAAACACATGCCGTACGTAGTTGCTAACCGCCTCATTTGAGCTGGTTCTAAATTGAATAAAGGAATTGAGGAGTTTACTGAATCATGCATAGTTTTAAAACTCTTATTAAAATTTAAAATGGTCAACGATGGCCTCCTCAAGCTGGTAAAGACAAACCTGTTGAATATACTTTTCGAGTTTTAACAAACCGGCTGGTCATCTAAACGTTTTGAATACCATGTTTCTTGTTCCTTCTAGGGTAAATTTCAATAAAGATTTGATAGACTAACCTTTCTTCCGGATAAAATTCCTGTATAGCAATGATAAGTGCACCGCTTGAGATTCTGGCGATTACAGTGATAATGGAAAACACTAATCCACTGGTTTCCTGACAGGAAATCACCGTATTAACTCATATATCTCAGATGGGAAACCAACATTAGTACTATTATTAACGTAGTTTTTTAACTCTTTACCCCTAAGACCAACAGGTCTTTAATTTCTCCTCAGAGTGTCACTGCTGAATCAAACATTTACGGCAAGAGAGAAAAAGGTAAATGATCGCCAATCAAAACAAAGGTTTCGATTGTTAGAAAAATTATCCTTATTAGTATCATGGAAAATTTATAGAGAGCACTATGGAAAATATGCACGCTGATCATGGTGTTAATCAAGTTTCGGAACTAGTCCGCGAATGAAACGGTTCTTTTTCATTACCCTCTGTGATTGACCTTGAAAAATCGCAACAATCTCTCAACCGATCAGATGTTACTCGAAATTTAAAACTTCAGGCGATCTAACTGTATCTACATTAAATTCTCACTAGCTGCTTGCGAGATTTTATTTCGTACTGACAAAGAGTTGAGATTAGTTTGGATTTTGTTTTGCGACATTCAAAACAACTTTCATGTCATTTGAATTTCAAAAATTGGCTGGTTGGAAATGTATTAGAGTTTGCGACTTATTATCTCCTCTAAACTATTAAAACTTTTTTCGAAAGACTAACCTTATTTTCCCCGATCAGCTCGGTAATGAAGACCAGTGCCATCACGTACATAATGGAGAGACCACTTCCTATCATAACCACTGGTGCATAAGTTGATTGTCTGGTAGAGTAGGTTTGAAAATAGCTCCAAAAAGCGCCACCCATCACAAATAAACTTGCCAGAAGGTAGCTCCACTAGATGTGCATAGCAAAGAAAGTATGAAAGTTACTAAGACTAAGTTAACAAATAAAGTTGTTCATGGTTCCGTAAAAGCAAGACACAGACAAAAAAAAGATCTGAGAATCCTTTGAGGAATCGAAATCCTGACTATCATAACTTGAGAAAAGATGGTTCATGTGTCGAGTGAAGTTAAATAAAGCCGTTAAGATGATCGTTTATTTATTGCCCCTCTCAGCCACTCATCATCAACAAGTAGATAAGCCGACGTTTGGCGCAATCAATGCATTTCCACTATCAAAAACATCAAATGACCAGTTAGAAGAAGCTGTTAATCTAGGTCTTACCTTACTTCCAATTTTTCTTTTCAGTTTCTTACACGTTGAACTCGCTATAGAGCCACTGGTTAGGAGGACGAGTGGAAAATAAGCGGTAGCTGCCTGATTCAGAACAAAAATACGATGAGATTATTATAGTTATCAAAGAGTTGAAAACAACTGAGCGCATCAGATTGAACTATACCTTGGGGAATGATAATCTCTCTGTGAGAAATAGCGGTAAATAGCTGTATACAGAGTCCTGCACAAGGCGTGTACATGTAAAGATAATAGCTACCTGAGAATTAAAACACGAGAAAAACGTCACAGAGAGTCAACTAAATCACAAACAAGGATAGTTGGAAACGTGAAGGTTTACCATGTACACGTTTGGATCTTTTAGCCAGTATTTGATTCCTTTTGGACATCTTCCCTCAGGTGTAGAACTTGTCGATTGAACAGGGAGACCATGAAGATCAGGGTTATCCCCTGAAGTTAAAGAATTATCTGTGGTATCGCAACCTTCTATTATATCGATTTTTCTACCGTGTTGTTTTGGAATACTTTCATTCAGATTCGTTTTGTTGTCAGGCGTGTGATCGAGATTTAATCCCTGTCGTTCTGTTCCGTTCATGAACAGCATTTCAAGAAGTTCAGGAGGATGGAAAGTCAGAGACTTTTTTTGCTTCCTCACTGATGTACTGCAAAGGCTTTCCTTCTTATCATCATCACCTCCATCATCTTCAAATCCAGGGTTATAGAGACCAAATTTACCATCATCCGTGAAAAGCACCATTCCATGTTTTCTTTGCTTATATACGGTACAAAAAGATGTTTTAGGGGCCGCGTTGTTGGTCATTTTCCACAAATCTTTTTCAGTAGTGTTTTTGATCTCTTCGTGTCTGGTGTTCCACAACTCTTCATCAGTTGTATGATCGTCGGCTTTACCTCCATTGTAACTTGGTTTTCCATGGCACCAAAACATGTTGGTTGTTCGTGCTCTTCGTTTTGTAATATCAACAGGATGCCGTCAAAATCAAGCATTAGTGGACTCTTCTTGCGTTCACGATCAAGATGCTGTACTTCTAGAACAACTCGTATTTTTGTATCCTCACTTTCTGGATTCTTATGATTTTGATCAGTGTTATCAATTTTCCCATCACCAAACATGGCAACAGCAAACTTCTGCAGAAGACTTCGTTTTCTGATGCGTACTTCATGGCTTTGATGTTCTTCATATTCATTTGAAGCCATAACCATGTTAGTAAACTTAAAAGCAAGGCTGGTCCGTCTAGAATCTTGAGCAAAAAAAACAAAACAAGCAATTAACGAACGTCTGGTTTTTCTGCGTCAGGGTTCAACGGTTGAACTAAATCGTGTCAGCTTCAGGAACATGTCTCAACTCTTTTTCGGATCAATTATTGAAACTTATTCCCTCAAAATGATCTCCAATAATATTTTTATAACACGGGATATCTGGACTTCTTCTCGATTAGTTTTTGTTCAACTTCTTTTCCCGTTTTAACTTGCTAGTGAAAAATCTGAGTAACCCAAGCTAAGCTGGAGGTTTTGCGCTTCGCTAAAAAAGGAGTTATGGTAAAGTTCTCTAAAGAGACAATCCTCAGAAGGCGAGGTTTACGGATGAAATTCTTTTCCTCATTCTAGCCATCTACTTGGCTGGTTCTTCGAAGTAAAGCTCGAGCTACTAACGTAGTCGACATTTAGCCTCTTGGCGGAGTGCAGTCTAGAAATAACTGAAGAGAGTTTGTGGGTTTGATATCCTTGCTGTGATCACTAATCTTAATCTCCAGTTGACATGCGCTTCTGAACTAGACATTTTGTTTCAAAGAGGACGTTGTCCAAACATTTCAAGCAAAATTGGTGCTGTCTCCAGATAGGACCACGTGTATCAAACTTGTGGGATGCCTAAACACAGTCATGGTTAATAGATTCTCAAAAATACCGAGGCAACAATACACTAGATATTAAGAAGCTCCATGCAAAAATAAGACCTATCCCCCTTGAGATGAAGACGAGTAGCGTTTTTCATTTTTGTCGATCAGTCTGACGCTGGAAAGGACCTTAGATATGCAATTTTTGCGCGAACAACGACGGTTTTTTTAATAATACACCAAAGTAAATATCCATAGACTTACTGGCATCTTCGGCTCCAAACTCTTCAATGACTATTCCAGGAGCTTTCTGAGAAATAACGGGTAAGTGGCCAGAGTGAATTAAAGGTTGCTTTAGATAATGTGTGGACCATACCTCTATCCCTCTGGTCGCGCAATGTAATGTCTTTTAGATAAATCAAATGAAGAACGAAGAAACAATCACACAAGCGCGCCGCTTTTAGCTCCACGATGTTGTCTGCTTCCCGAACACAAAAATAAGCTTTTTTATGACCATTATTTGAAAAGGAAATATCCTTTTGTTTCCTGTCTTACCGTGAGATCCGTTGTGGCGCTTTCTTTACTCTGACATTTTTTAGGTTCGTTTGTGCCAATGTGGAAGATGGCTGCAAAGAAGAGTCCTGTTCCAGTAGCAATCCACGAGAGGTACTGTTCAGAAAAGAATTAATCAACCTTTTAACTCCCAGAAATGACTAACTTGTAACCTCTCCCTCTAGCAAACATACATTCTCTAGCCAACAGCTGATGAGAATACTAATGCTTATCAGATAAAAGTTGTTATCTTGATCTAACACTAAATTCTCAAGAATTAATTTAAAGGAAATGCAAAGCAGCTCCAGGAGAGATGTGTAGAAAGAGACTGAAAGGCTGAAAGGCTGACAGGCAGCGCAGGAAGAGAAAACCAAATTTCTCCAACCGTTTTTTAATTGCGTTTTTTTTAGTTCATCGCATTGAACTTCCACCTGTTTGTCAAAGCATATCGTGGCATAGAACTATTAACGAAGCTGCTACTTACTACAAAATCTGGAAGGCTCTGAGGTCCCAGAGTATCGCTCTTGTCCTGTCCGAAAAGGCCCCAGGCGATCACGTATATGTAAATACCACTAAGGAAGCTGAACATTGTCCTTTTGAACAAGAAAAAGAGAAGAATAAAGAAAATTGTTCTTAGATGTCACGTTTATTATTCCTACAGGATAAGTTAGGAAAAAACGGCCTCAGAGTGTCCGTTCTTGAGTTGAGATATATAAGAGTTATACAAGTGATTTATACAAGTATGTTTGAAACAAATACGATTGCCGTTTGAACTACGTGTCTTAAAAAAGGTTTCTTGAAGCAAACTTCATGGCACTAAGAGCTGTACATTCTCGACGGATTCAGTTACAGTTGTAATAAAGGTAATTTTTACCTCCACAGAATGTTGTACAGCGAGAAGAAGATGTAATAAGAAGATGTAATAGACAATTGAAAGCCACCCACCATGATTTCTATTACAAAGAAAACAACAGTTAAAGAAAAAAGGAATGATAATGCTCATTAAAACTGTTATGAAAAGGTGCCAAGATTTTCGCCCGCAGGGATTCTTGGAAAGAGATCTTTGAAATGAAAAATTAAGCTGCCGGCAGAGATCGCTGAATAAATTTCCTACCGCGCACAATAGCTGTTCTCTTGTCCGCATTTTAACCAGAAAGTAGACGCAACCGGTCTATATGAAAACTTCGCAAATTAGTTGAATAAAGATTCAACATAATTATCTCGAATCGTGTACAAGTTAACATGATGCTGTCCTTAAATGGAACCTCAAAAACAAACCCCTACGTAATTGGCCGCTTGAAACTTCATGGGATGTTATAATAGGAGCATTTGTCATGAAACTTGAAGACTCGCACAGGAATACAAGTTGCAGTCCATTATGGCCAATAAGGTCAATCAACGGCTGAATGCATGATAAAAACTGACGAATATGTACGAAGCCTAATTTCGCATGTGTGAGCACTAAAACTGGAGGTCTGACAGACATACGCATAGGTAGAAGGTTTTTCATTAAATTAGTGTTATTTCTTATGACTTTTACGAAGCAAGAGGCAATAGTACTAAGTCAACCGACTTACGGTTATATTGGCGTTCCAGGGAAAAGTAACTTTAGGAGAGTTTGATTATGAAATAAAAACTTCGCGTCATCATCTGATTAACAAAAATATAACATTATGACGTGCTTCCGTTTTGTTCTAGATCAAAGATGGCGTCAGAATGTGCTCGTGGCCGAGTGTATAATTGGTGTTGTTACCACATTTTGACATATTATGTTATCTTGAAGTATAAATCCACATCATCATGTAATCTGTTTGTTTTAGATGATAAAAAAGCAAAATTTTGCAGATGGCGACATAAACTATGCGTCTGTCCTCCAGTAGATCTTTGGTAAGAGCCCAACAAATGGGTGAACAGTTAAGTTTAATTAAATATAATACTTTTAAAAATAGCAAACCTGATGGCGCTAAGATCTGTTAGTTCTTCAACCGACACAGCTGAAGTTGTGATGAAAGCCAGGTGATTTATCTCCACCACGCTGAAACAAATGTTATACAGTGAAAACAAGAAACCGTAATAGACGGTGGGAAGCCAAGTTTGATGACTTCCACCACAGAGAATGCAACGGTTGACGCAGAGAGGAACTACGATGCCCATAAAAACCGTTGCCATAAGATACCAAGATTTTCGCATTCCAATTTTCTGTGAAAGAACGGGTACTTTAACCATATCGCCGAGGTAACCAGAGATTATTGAGGTCAACGCGTCAACAATTTGTCCAAGGAGTATTATAAGTCCAGCGTCTGCAGCTGAAAGGTCCACTACCTCCATGAAAAATAGGAGAGAAAAAAATGAAAACATGCACCTGCAGAGGTCATTGAATATACTTCCCGCTGCACACAGTAAAATTTCTCTTGTGCGCATTGTAAAAACGAGTCTCCTTGGTCTGGACACGCCACTCTCTCTCTCCTCTACTTAAGAATGCTTCGATTCTATGGGAAGCCCAATTCTACCACTTTTATATGGGTGTGTGACCTTCCCACTTGATAAGGAAATAATGCACCAATCACAGCTCGCTTTTTGTTTTCCAGATAGCCAATCTATCAAGATAGTCTTAGTGACATTTCGTACCTCAGCCCTCACAATATTTTACTCTGACTAAAACGAATCAAGCTAGAAAATCATTAAGTTAATTTTTTGCGTCGTTTGAAAACCTAGATACTATAACTGAGTGCTTCTTTTCTTGGCGGTTTTACTGACTTTTTTAAGATAGATAATGTTTGGTTTCTCAATTGAAAATCACAGTAGATTGTGAAAGAACACAACAATTCAATATGATTTCTGGTGCAATTCGTATCCACAGTAATTTTTTTTGTTCTTATTACTCACACAATAAATTGACCTTGTTTAGTGGAATTCTTTAAACCATAGATTGACGCTAGAGCTTGGCTATAGCTCATTATTCTTGAGAGTCATCAAATTGACATAGATCGAGGTTGATGATAACTAGACTAATTACGTAATTAAAAGGAAATTGATTGAGAAACATTGATGCAAATTCGTTCACCGCCACCTCCCATGACCTACATTTGGCCGATTATTAAGTAGTGCTTTTAAAACATTGACATTGAAAATGAGTTTACCATCTCTTTGGAAGAAGAAATATGAACTGAATAACCTCTTTCGAACAAGGTATTACCGTTACTTGGGTATCCAAGTGAAATGTTGATATAGCCAGTGAACTGACGGATTTTGGCTGGTTTTGAGTCATTGATACAAATTAGAATAATTTAGAGTTGTGGATTGCAAAAGCAATTATTTGACGTGAAATGCAGTTTCAAACCATCTGCTCACTGTAAATTTTTTTCATATGCTGGAATTTTAATCTTAAGCAAGTAATTGCTGTATTGTTAGACAAGGTAGTTCTTTTCGGGCAACTATTATCTGAGGTCTCCATCAGTAAAGATACTGCCGTCTCAGAACTAAAACATACCGTAACCACTAACGTAGCTCTACCATAACTTTGTGTATGGTCTATGCAACAAAGGAATACCACCAAACTGAATACTTCAGACGTCATTGCTAAGACAATGGGGCCGCATGAAGCTCATTTCTTCCACTTTTATATGGGTGTGTGACGTTCCATATAAATGTAATGTCAGGGGTAAAAATCTGCATCTTTGGTAAAAGTTTATTTTATTTTGCGGAAATTATTCGATTGTCTCTCGATGTGAGTCACTGAGTAAGTCACTGATATTTATAACACATTTTGATGTCTTCTGATGCCCTGAATCCTTTTTATTCTTATCATTTTATTCCTCCTCTTCTTTGGTTTGACCTTTCCCAGGTCGTTGTTGTGCGCATTTAGGTTGCACTTCCACCTCTTGATCTAGTCTTGACAGGATCCCGTCCTAAAACCGAGCTAAGAGACTCTTCTTATGTTCACTTTCTAATTGCTGTACTACTACGTGATGAAGCAGATATTGACGGAAGTTGTAGACCGTAGTGGAGTGTTTGAAAAAGGATTACGAGGAGTTTTGAAATTATTTTCGCTTTATTTTATAACTTAACAAGGTTCTTTAATGTCCTCTTACATTTGAATATTTAGTTTCAACTCTTCAAAATTGGTTCAATTTAAATATATCACAGGAAACAGTTTTTGGCTAATCCTGTCACAGGATAAATTTACGATCTCTTCTCTTCTTCTTGAGGACTTTGGTTAATTGTTTTTTCTGGCCGAGCCTTTTGATTGAATTTTGTAAACTAATTACTGCCGCAACATCTAAAAATAGTCGCGTGGTTATGGAAAAAAATAGCATAGTGGCTATAAAATTAATTGATAGGAATGTACCGAACTGAATCCTACCCCAACCCTCACAATATTTTACTCTGACTAAAACGAATCAAGCTCGAAATGCATTGAGCTAATCTTTTGCGTCGTTTGAAGGCCTAGATACTGCTGCCGTGCGCTTCTTTTCTTTGCGGTTTTACTGACTCTTTTAGCATAGATAATGTCTGCTTTCTCCACTGAACAACACAGTAGATTGTGAAAGACCACAAAAATTTATTTCTATGCCTGGTGCTATTCTTATCCTCAGTAAACGTTTTTGTTCTTAAAAAACACAATAAATTGACCTTACTTAGAGGAATTCACTAAACCATAAACTGACGTTAGAACATGACCATAGCTTAAAATATATTACAGTTCACACGGCAACCAGGTGGATAATCAGACATAGTTTGATGCTACTCTGGTTTGCAGATTTAATGAATGTAACCGAAGAAGTTACAATTCATAGACCCAACGTTTCGACACTCCTGTCTAGTGCCTTCATCAGGGGTGATGTAAACGCTGCAACAAGAGGTCCTTTTATATGATCACTGATTAGCGGCCTATTTTCTTACGAGGTGTAAATAGGCGTCAGAAAGCAAACCGCCATCGTCACGATTTAAAGGAGCGTGGGCGGAGTTAATATGCCAAGCCTCCAATACCTCCTCCTCCTGGTGGTAACGCCGATTAGTGGTGATAATTTTAGAAAAATCCCACCCAATTGTATAGTTAGTTTGGCATGTATGCTCCGATAAGGCTGAATTTTCCTTTTTGCAAAGGAAAACCGCTTTTCGGTGCTCTTTTAACCGTGTACCAAAGTGACGTTTGGTCTGAATACATCGGAAAACGAATACATCGGACAGACCAAACGTCAGTTTGGTACACGTGTCATTTAATAAGATTACTAATTTAAACAAAGGAACGCTTGACACCATTGCGTCAGGGGGTAATTCAGAGTATTTGCAGTTATTCTCCTTACGTTACCCAAGTTATAGACGTCTAACAGCTTGACAATGTACTTACCTTTACTTTTGCAGATAAAGTTAGATGGTTGGAAAAACAAAACCAGTAAGAATCCCACCAGAGTTAACACTCCAGGCGCCATTAGAAACACATGCCGCACGTAGTTGCTAAATGCCTCATTTGAGCTGGTTCTAAATTGAATAAAGAAAGTAAGGAGTTTACTAAATCGTGCATATCAATCACAGCGACCATGATTGTTCTTTGTTTCTCCCGTCCAAGCTTCAGTGGAGTGTCTGAAAAAGGATTACAAGAACTTTTGAATTTATTTTCCCTTTAATTTATAACTTAACGAGGTTCTTTACTGTCTTCTTACATTTGGATATTTAATTTCAACTCTTCAAAATTGGTTCAATTTACATATATCACAGGAAACAGTTTTTGGCTGATCCTGTCACAGGATAAATTTACGATCTCTTCTATAATGAAGACTTTTGCTACTTGTTTTTTCTGGTCGAGCCTTTTCATTGTATTTTTTAAAGTAATTTCTGCCGCAACATCTAAAAATAGTCGCGTGGTTATGGAACAAAAAATAACAAAGTGGCTTTCAAATAAATTCATAAGAATGTACAGAACTGAATCCTACCCCAGCCCTCACAATATTTTACTCTGACTAAAACGAATCAAGCTCGAAATGCATTGAGCTAATCTTTTGCGTCGTTTGAAGGCCTAGATACTACTGCCGTGCGCTTCTTTTCTTTGCGGTTTTACTGACCCTTTTAGCATAGATAATGTCTGCTGAAAAACACTGTAGATTGTGAAAGACCACAAAAATTTATTTCGATGCCTGGTGCTATTCTTATCCTCAGTAAACGTTTTTGTTCTTATAAAACACACAATAAATTGACCTTGCTTAGACGAATTCGCTAAACCATACACTGACGTTAGAACATGATCATAGCTTATTATTCTTGAGAGTCATCAAATTGATAAAGATCGAGGTTGATGATAAGGAGACTAATTACTGCAATTTCCATAATTAAAAGCAAGTTGATTGAAAAGCATTGATGTAGATTCGACTCAATCTCGTCCACCGCCACCTCCCATAACCTACGTTTGGCCGATTATTAAGAAGTGCTTTTAAAACATTGACATTGGAAATGAATTTACCATCTCTTTGGATGAAGAAATTTGAATTGAATAACCTCCTTCGAATAAGAAATTATCGTCACTTAGATATAACCAAGTAGAGTGTTTTTATAGCAAGTAAACTGACCCTACGTAACTGAGAGAGCAAAAAACTAAAATGTTCACCATAATTACAGGCTCAAAGGCGACTGATTTCGGCTGGTTTCGAGCTATTGATACAAATTAGAATAATTTAGAGTTGTGGATTGCAAAGGCAATTACTTGAAGTGAAATGCAATTTCAAACCCTCTGCTCACTGTCAATTTTCTTTCATATGCTGGTATTTTAATCTCAAGCAAGTAATTGCACTAATGTTAGACAAGGTAGTTCTGTTCGGGCAACCATTATCCGAGATCTCGGTCAGTAAAGATACTGCCGTCTCTGAACTAAAACATCCCGTAACCATTAACGTAACTCTACCATAACCTTGTTTATGGTCTATGCAACAAAACCCACGCATATTATATTTCTGAAAAGAAATTATAGTTTTGTTTCCTCAGAAGAATAATGAACCGACGCGATGTAAGAGTTTCGATTTGCATCTAACCACTCGTTTAGCGTTTCTTTGTTTCGTAGAAAAGCTGAGGAAGTGGAACATCAACCGATAATTGATCTGCTTGAGCCTCAAAATCCTGTGTGTCTACACAGGAGAAATGGCACACGTAAAGGTTATTAAAGCAGAGGAATTAGAACAAAAAGCAGAGAAAGTCTGCGTGGATATATGGTATCTTGTGTAAAAGAATAAATTTTTGTGACCATTCGCTTGGAGTCTGTGTATGTACAATCATTCTTTGTGATTATCAGTATGTGACACAGCCATGTGAATTTAGATGTAAATCAACGCTGTTACCTTTCATTTCAAAAAACCTTTTGACGGTTGGAGAAGCAAAACCAGTAGGAATACCACCAACAGAATACTTCAGACGCCATTGCTAACACATTTTGCAAGTAGTTGCCAACAGCCTCGTTTGAGCTAGTTTGAATCGAGTATAGGAAATTGGGAAAGTCTCTTTTCAGTGGCCTGCACTCGAAGAATTGCTAAGGCAAGACAACTTTCCAAGCTATCTATGCGATGGACCAGTTTTTTTTTAACAGATAAGAAATGTCGGAAAGTATATGTTTGTTTTCAGTAATTGAGCTGTAAGTTTACTGTAAGTTTTAGCAGATTTTCTTTCCTTGGGTCACGTCTCCTGTGTGTAAACACATTCATGAACATATTCAGTCTGACAGGTTTACTCAATCAAGTCGATTGAGACCTAGTCAGGTTTGGTGAATTGGAAATAAATGACACTCCTTGGCTCATAACTAGCAAGGTCAACAAGTTGGAAAGTTCTTGAATTTTTGCGGTGCTTGTAATGTCCACGTACATTAAACGAGAAAGCAACCCATTTTTCTTGCAACTAATTTTGATACCACTGAACTGCAGAATCGAAACGTTTTAACAAAGAAAAAAAAATGGAAAACCATTGGAGACAAAAGGTCCTGATTCCCTCATTCGCCCTTCGCCGTACTCTTACTACGGATGATCAAACTAGCTAGCTTGAGGCTCTGTCAGGTTCGATCACCCGGAACAAACAAACGAGCACGTACGTTAAGATAATTTGGATTTATTTATTATTGAGTTGATAATGTAAATTGGCCACGTTAGAGAGTTTCAAAGCTGAAGTTTCGAGTGTTAACAAACAAACACTTGTGTTGACATATATTACTTGGTTTTATTTATAACTGAGTTGATAATGTAAATTGGCCACCTTAGAGAGTTTCAAAGCTGACGTTTCGAGTGTTAATCCTTCGAGTGTTATATAATGAAGACGGTGAACATGACCATACCAGTTCTTCAAAACCAAGAATGTCGTAATACACGTAGCTATAATGAATGAAAACTTTTGATTGTCCGCGATTGATCTAAACGGTTCACATTATTTGTTCCGAGATGTGAACAGTTTTCCGAGCAAAATTTGAGCTATCAATAGAAAAGAAGAAAATCTAAAAAATTTTGAAAATAGATTAAGATCTACACTATTATTATCATTAAACAGACAAGACCACTATTTATCTAAAATTTAGGAAAAGTGGACTCCTGTTCATCTCGGTGCCAGAAGTTATTACGACTTGTCTCCTTTTATTTTACGGAATTCTACGATGGCAAAACTTTTCATGTGAAATAATTTTTCCTAAAATCTCAACAACAACAGATGGAAACGATCTTTACAATCTCTTTGATTTTAACTTGATCGTTAAAAATGAAACAGTTAATTATGGGTCATATAGGCCGAAATCGTGGGCGTGTCTATGCAATGACCTTTAGTAGATCGACAGAGCCTCTACACATAATGCAATTTTCAAAGAATTCAAAGTTTTGAGTCCTCAGAACAAGAATCCACCACCACGATGGAGGTATTGTGACTATCATCCAAGCTGTGGCCTGACGTTGCTTTGACCCCCGATGGACATTGGTTAACTTGAACATCAAACGGCGATTGGCCGTGTAGAGCCTCAACATCTTCTGAAACTAGAAGAACAAATTGACAGAAGAAGGTTTCGTTGACAACAAAGACAACCGCGTGTAATACTGACTAACAAACCTGAAGCTCCAAGTTTAAAACCGTCTTATTAAATGAGCATGGATAGCAGTACTACATGGACGCAAAACTATAACGAGGTAAATGAATTTACACAGGCTTGTGTTACTTGCAAGATTACTAGTTTAAACAAAGGAACGGCTTAACACCATTGCGTCAGAGGGTAATTCAGAGTATTTGTAGTTATTCTCCTTACGTTACCCATGTTATATACGTCTAACAGCTTGACAATGTACTTACCTTTAATTTTACAGATAAAGTTAGATGGTTGGAAAAACAAAACCAGCAAGAATGCCACGAGAGTTAATACTCCAGGCGCCATTAGAAACACATGCCGTACGTAGTTGCTAACCGCCTCATTTGAGCTGGTTCTAAATTGAATAAAGGAATTGAGGAGTTTACTAAATCATGCATGGTTTTAAAACTGTTATTAAAATCTAAAATGGTCAACGATGGCCTCCTCAAGCTGGTAAAGACAAACCTGTTGAATATACTTTTCGAGTTTTAACAAACCGGCTGATCATCTAAACGTTTTAAATACCATCTTTCTTGTTCCTTCTAGGGTAAATTTCAATAAAGATTTGATAGACTAACCTTTCTTCCGGATAAAATTCCTGTATAGCAATGATAAGTGCACCGCTTGAGATTCTGGTGATTACAGTAATAATGGAAAACACTGATCCACTGGTTTCCTGACAGGAAATCACCGTATTAACTCATATATCTCAGATGGGAAACCAACATTAGTACTATTATTAACGTAGTTTTCTAACTCTTTACCCCTAAGACCAACAGGTCTTTAATTTCTCCTCAGAGTGTCACTGCTGAATCAAACATTTACGTCAAGAGAGAAAAAGGTAAATGATCGCCAATCAAAACAAAGGTTTCGATTGTTAGAAAAATTATCCTTATTAGTATCATGGAAAATTTATAGAGAGCACTATGGAAAATATGCACGCTGATCATGGTGTTAATCAAGTTTCGGAACTAGTCCGCGAATGAAACGGTTTTTTTTCATTACCCTCTGTGATTGACCTTGAAAAATCGCAGCAATCTCTCAACCGATCAGATGTTACTCGAAATTTAAAACTTCAGGCGATCTAACTGTATCTACATTAAATTCTCACTAGCTGCTTGTGAGATTTTATTTCGTACCGACAAAGAGTTGAGATTAGTTTGGATTTTGTTTTGCGACATTCAAAACAACTTTCATGTCATTTGAATTTCAAAAATTGGCTGGTTGGAAATGTATCAGAGTTTGCGACTTATTATCTCCTCGAAACTATTAAAACTTGTTTCGAGAGACTAACCTTATTTTCCCCGATCAGCTCGGTAATGAAGACCAGTGCCATCACGTACATAATGGAGAGACCACTTCCTATCATAACCACTGGTGCATAAGTTGATTGTCTGGTAGAGTAGGTTTGAAAATAGCTCCAAACAGCGCCACCCATCACAAATAAACTTGCCAGAAGGTAGCTCCTCTAGATGTGCATAGCAAAGAAAGTATGAAAGTTACTAAGACTAAGTTAACAAATAAAGTTGTTCATGGTTCCGTAACAAGCAAGACACAGACAAAAAAAAGATCTGAGAATCCATTGAGGAATCGAAATCCTGACTATCGTAACTTGAGAAAAGATGGTTCATGTGTCGAGTGAAGTTAAATAAAGCCGTTAAGATGATCGTTTATTTATTGCCCCTCTCAGCCACTCATCATCAACAAGTAGATAAGCCGACGTTTGGCGCAATCAATGCATTTCCACTATCAAAAACGTCAAATGACCAGTTAGAAGAAGCTGTTAATCTAGGTCTTACCTTACTTCCAATTTTTCTTTTCAGTTTCTTACACGTTGAACTCGCTATAGAGCCACTGGTTAGGAGGACGAGTGGAAAATAAGCGGTAGCTGCCTGATTCAGAACAAAAATACGATGAGATTATTATAGTTATCAAAGAGTTGAAAACAACTGAGCACATCAGATTGAACTATACCTTGGGGAATGATAATCTCTCTGTGAGAAATAGCGGTAAATAGCTGTATACAGAGTCCTGCACAAGGCGTGTACATGTAAAGATAATGGCTACCTGAGAATTAAAACACGAGAAAAACGTCACAGAGAGTCAACTAAATCAACAAACAAGGATAGTTGGAAACGTGAAGGTTTACCATGTACACTTTTGGATCTTTTAGCCAGTATTTGATTCCTTTTGGACGTCTTCCCTCAGGTGTAGAACTTGTCGATTGAACAGGGAGACCAAGAAGATCAGGGTTATCCCCTGAAGTTAAAGAATTATCTTTGGTATCGCAACCTTCTATTATTTCGATTTTTCTACCGTGTTGTTTTGGAATACTTTCATTCAGATTCGTTTTGTTGTCAGGCGTGTGATCGAGATTTAATCCCTGTCGTTCTGTTGCGTTCATGAACAGCATTTCAAGAAGTTCAGGAGGATCGAAAGTCAAAGACTTTTTTTGCCTCCTCACTGATGTACTGCAAAGGCTTTCCTTCTTATCATCATCACCTCCATCATCTTCAAATCCAGGGTTAGAGAGACCAAATTTACCATCATCCGGAAAAAGCACCATTCCATGTTTTCTTTGCTTATATACGGCACAAAAAGATGTTTTAGGGGCCGCGTTGTTGGTCATTTTCCGCAAATCTTTTTCAGTAGTGTTTTTGATCTCTTCGTGTCCGGTGTTCCACAACTCTTCATCAGTTGTATGATCGTCGGCTTTACCGTCCATTGTAACTTGGTTTTCCATGGCACCAAAACATGTTGGTTGTTCGTGCTCTTCGTTTTGTAATCTCAACAGGATGCCGTCAAAATCAAGCATTAGTGGACTCTTCTTGCGTTCACGATCAAGATACTGTACTTCTTGAACAACTCGTATTTTTGTATCCTCACTTTCTGGATTCTTATGATTTTGATCAGTGTTATCAATTTTCCCATCACCAAACATGGCAACAGAAAACTTCTGCAGAAGACTTCGTTTTCTGATGCGTACTTCATGGCTTTGATGTTCTTCATATTCATTTGAAGCCATAACCATGTTAGTAAACTTAAAAGCAAGGCTGGTCCGTCTAGAATCTTGAGCAAAAAAAAAACAAAACAAGCAATTAACGAACGTCTGGTTTTTCTGCGTCAGGGTTCAACGGTTGAACTAAATCGTGTCAGCTTCAGGAACATGTCTCAACTCTTTTTCGGATCAATTATTGAAACTTATTCCCTCAAAATGATCTCCAATAATAAATTTATAACACGGGATATCTGGACTTCTTCTCGATTAGTTTTTGTTCAACTTCTTTTCACGTTTTGACTTGCTAGTGAAAAATCTGAGTAACCCAAGCTAAGCTGGAGGTTTTGCGCTTCGCTTAAAAAAGAGTTATGGTAAAGTTCTCTAAAGAGACAATCCTTAGAAGGCAAGGTTTACGGATGAAATTCTTTTCCTCATTCTAGCCATCTACTTGGCTGGTTCTTTGAAGTAAAGCTCGAGCTACTGACGTAGTCGACATTTAGCCTCTTGGCGGAATGCAGTCTAGAAATAACTGAAGAGAGTTTGTGGGTTTGATATCCTTGCTGTGATCACTAATCTTAATCTCCAGTTGACATGCGCTTCTGAGCTAGTCATTTTGCTTTAAAGAGGACGTTGTCCAAACATTTCAAGCAAAATTAATGCTGTGTCCAGATGGGACCACGTGTATCAAACTTAATAGATAGTTAATAGATTCTCAAAAATACCGAGGCAACAATACACTAGATATTAAGAAGCTCCATGCAAAAATAAGACCCATCCCCCTTGAGATGAAGACGAGTAGCGTTTTTCATTTTTGTCGATCAGTTTGACGCTGGAAAGGACCTTAGATATGCAATTTTTGCGCGAACAACGACGGTTTTTTAAATAATACACCAAAGTAAATATCCATAGACTTACTGGCATCTTTGGCTCCAAACTCTTCAATGACTATTCCAGGAGCTTTCTGCAAAATAACGGGAAAGTGGCCAGAGTGAATCAAAGGTTGCTTTAGATAATGTGTGGACCATACCTCTATCCCTCTGGTCGCGCAATGTAACGTCTTTTAGATAAATCAAATGAAGAACGAAGAAACAATCACACAAGCGCGCCGCTTTTAGCTCCACGATGTTGTCTGCTTCCCGAACACAAAAATAAGCTTTTTTATGACCATTATTTGAAAAGGAAATATCCTTTTGTTTCCTGTCTTACCGTGAGATCCGTTGTGGCGCTTTCTTTACTCTGACATTTTTTAGGTTCGTTTGTGCCAATGTGGAAGATGGCTGCAAAGAAGAGTCCTGTTCCAGTAGCAATCCACTAGAGGTACTGTTCAGAAAAAAATTAATCAACTAGCATCTTAACCTTTTAACTCCCAGAAATGACTAACTTGTAACCTCTCCCTCTAGCAAACATACATTCTCTAGCCAACAGCTGATGAGAATGCTAATGCTTATCAGATAAAAGTTGTTATCTTGATCTAACACTTAATTCTCAAGAATTAATTTAAAGGAAATGCAAAGCAGCTCCAGGAGAGAATTGACAATCAGGTCTTGAACAATGAAAGGTTTAGGACAAAAAAAAAGTTTTAATGCCAGTAGAGATGTGTAGAAAGAGACTGACAGGCTGAAAGGCTGACAGGCAGCGAAGGAAGAGAAAACCAAATTTCACCAACCGTTTTTTAATTGCGTTTTTTTTTTAGTTCATCGCATTGAACTTCCACCTGTTTGTCAAAGCATATCGTGGCATAAAACTATTAACGAAGCTGCTACTTACTACAAAATCTGGAAGGCTCTGAGGTCCCAGAGTATCGCTATTGTCCTGTCCGAAAAGGCCCCAGGCGATCACGTATATGTAAATACCACTAAGGAAGCTGAACATTGTCCTTTTGAACAAGAAAAAGAGAAGAATAAGGAAAATTGTTCTTAGATGCCACGTTTATCATTCTTACAGGATAAGTTAGGAAAAAACGGCCTCAGAGTGTCCGTTCTTGAGTTGAGTTATATAAAAGTTATACAAGTGATTTATACAAGTATGTTTAAAACAAATACGATTGCCGTTTGAACTACGTGTCTTAAAAAAGGTTTCTTGAAGCAAACTTCATGGCACTAAGAGCTGTACATTCTCGACGGATTCAGTTACAGTTGTAATAAAGGTAATTTACCTCCACAGTGCTCAAACAAATGTTGTACAGCGAGAAGAAGATGTAATAAGAAGATGTAATAGACAATTGAAAGCCACCCACCATGATTTCTATTACAAAGAAAACAACAGTTAAAGAAAAAAGGAATGACAATGCTCATTAAAACTGTTATGAAAAGGTGCCAAGATTTTCGCCCGCAGGGATTCTTGGAAAGAGATCTTTGAAATGAAAAATTAAGCTGCCGGCAGAGGTCGCTGAATAAATTTCCTACCGCGCACAATAGCTGTTCTCTTGTCCGCATTTTAACCAGAAAGTAGACGCAACCGGTCTATATGAAAACTTCGCAAATTAGTTGAATAAAGATTCAACATAATTATCTCGAATCGTGTACAAGTTAACATGATGCTTTCCTTAAATGGAACCTCAAAATCAAACCCCTACGTAATTGGCTGCTTGGAACTTCATGGGATGTTATAATTGGAGCAATAGTCACGAAACTTGAAGACTCGCACAGGAATACAAGTTGCAGTCCATTATGGCCAATAAGGTCAATCAACGGCTGAATGCATGATAAAAACTGACGAATATGTACGAAGCCTAATTTCGCATGTGTGAGCACTAAAACTGGAGGTCTGACAGACATACGCATAGGTAGAAGGTTTTTCATTAAATTAGTGTTATTTCTTATGACTTTTACGAAGCAAGACGCAATGGTACTTAAGTCAACCGACTTATGCTTATATTAGCGTTGCAGGGAAAAGTAACTTTAGGAGAGTTTGATTATGAAATAAAAACTTCGCGTCATCATCTGATGAACAAAAATATTAAATTATGACGTGCTTCCGTTTTGCTATAGATCAAAGGTGGCGTCAGAATGTGCTCGTGGCCGAGTGTATAATTGATTTTGTTACCACATTTTGACATATTATGTGATCTTGAAGTGTAAATCCACATCAACATGTAATCTGTTTGTTTTAGATGATAAAAAAGCAAAATTTTGCAGATGGCGACATAAACTATGCGTCTGTCCTCCAGTAGATCTTTGGCAAGAGCCCAACAAATGGGTGAAAAGTTAAGTTTAATTAAATATAATACTTTTAAAAATAGCAAACCTGATGGCGCTAAGATCTGTTAGTTCTTCAACCGACACAGCTGAAGTTGTGATGAAAGCCAGGTGATTTATCTCCACCACGCTGAAACACATGTTAAACAGTGAGTACAAGAAACCGTAATAGACAGTGGGAAGCCAAGTTTGATGACTTACACTACAGAGAATGCAACGGTTGACGCAGGGAGGAACTACGATGCCCATAAAAACCGTTGCCATAAGATGCCAAGATTTTCGCATTCCAATTTTCTGTGAAAGAACGGGTACTTTAACCATATCGTCGAGGTAACCACAGATTATTGAGGTCAACGCGTCGACAATTTGTCCAAGGAGTATTATAAGTCCAGCGTCTGCAGCTGAAAGGTCCACTACCTCCATGAAAAATAGGAGAGAAAATGAAAACATGTAATTGCAGAGGTCATTGAATATACTTCCCGCTGCACACAGTAAAATTTCTCTTGTGCGCATTGTAAAAACGAGTCTCCTTGGTCTGGATACACCACTCTCTCTCTCTCCCCTACTTAAGAATGCTTCGATTCTATGGGAAGCCCAATTCTACCACTTTTATATGGGTGTGTGACCTTCCCACTTGATAAGGAAATAATGCACCAATCACAGCTAGCTTTTTGTTTTCCAGAAAGTCAATCATATCAATGGCTCTGATGTAGGGCTAACGCTTGAAACGTCAGCCTTTTCACTCCTTACGGTGGCCAATTTACGTTTTCAACTGAGTTGTTAACACTAAATTACTTTATCAACATAGTCTTCGTGAGGTATCCGTGGTGAACTTGTCACCATTTTCGCTTGGGGCTTCCAGAGATTTTGAAGATATCCCATGGATGGAAACCTAGGTAAATCTTAAAAAGGTACCTTAGGTCCTCTATTTGTTCGTCGACTAATGTCAGGGGTAAAAATCTGCATCTTTGGTAAAAGTTTATTTTATTTTGCGGATTATTCGATTGTCTCTCGATGTGAGTCACTGAGTAAGTCACTGATATTTATAACACATTTTGATGTCTTCTGATGCCCTGAATCCTTTTTTTTCTTATCATCTTATTCCTCCTCTTCTTTGATTTGACCAACCCAGGTCGTTGTTGTGCGCATTTAGGTTGCACTTCTACCTCTTGATCTAGTCTTGACAGGATCCTGTCCTAAAACCGAGCTAAGAGACTCTTCTTATGTTCACTTTCTAATTGCTGTACTACTACGTGATGAAGCAGATATTGACGGAAGTTGTAGACCGTAGACGGAAGTTGCATAAAACGTAAGTTGCGTAAACGAAAGTTGTATCGCATTCTACCCCTCCCTACTCAGTGAAAGTCTAAAATAATTTCTATGAAGCTCAGAAACTTACGTGGAAAGAAATAAAACGTTTGTAAGGTCTAATAAAAATAATAACCTTAAATAACATTTCCGAACTTCTAAAAATGCAGCTTGAGTCGAGAAGCCGAAATGTTCACACTTTAGGCCCAGTAGCGGGTTAATTTCAACACAAGTTGTTACTACGAGGAAAAGCATCAGAAGCTGTCATATTGGTAAGCCGCGTATTTGCGTTCGTCTTCAGTTGGTATAAAGTAATCATTGCTCTATCATTGTGCTTTTCCTCAGGATCTCTTCAACATACAGTCCGCACATCAATCACAGCGGCCAAGATTGTTCTTTGTTTCTCCCGTTCAAGCTTCAGTGGAGTGTTTGAAAAAGGATTACGAGGAGTTTTGAAATTATTTTCGCTTTATTTTATAACTTAACAAGGTTCTTTAATGTCCGGTTACATTTGAATATTTAGTTTCAACTCTTCAAAATTGGTTCAATTTAAATATATCACACGAAACAGTTTTTGGCTGATCCTGTCACAGGATAAATTTACGATCTCTTCTCTTCTTCTTGAGGACTTTGGTTAATTGTTTTTTCTGGCCGAGCCTTTCGATTGAATTTTGTAAACTAATTACTGCCGCAACATCTAAAAATAGTCGCGTGGTTAAGGAAAAAAAAAGCATAGTGGCTATAAAATTTATTCATAAGAATGTATAGAACTGAATCCTATCCCAACCCTCACAATATTTTACTCTGACTAAAACGAATCAAGCTCGAAATGCATTGAGCTAATCTTTTGCGTCGTTTGAAGGCCTAGATACTGCTGCCGTGCGCTTCTTTTCTTTGCGGTTTTACTGACTTTTTTTTAGCATAGATAATGTCTGCTTTCTCCACTGAACAACACAGTAGATTGTGAAAGACCACAAAAATTTATTTCTATGCCTGGTGCTATTCTTATCCTCAGTAAACGTTTTTGTTCTTAAAAAACACAATAAATTGACCTTACTTAGAGGAATTCACTAAACCATAAACTGACGTTAGAACATGACCATAGCTTAAAATATATTACAGTTCACACGGCAACCAGGTGGACAATCAGACATAGTTTGATGCTACTTTGGTTTGCAGATTTAATGAATGTAACCGAAGAAGTTACAATTCATAGACCCAACGTTTCGACACTCCTTTCTAGTGCCTTCATCAGGGGTGATGTAAACGCTGCAACAAGAGGTCCTTTTATATGATCACTGATTAACGGCCTATTTTCTTACGAGGTGTAAATAGGCGTCAGGAAGCAAACCGCCATCGTCACGATTTAAAGGAGCGTGGGCGGAGTTGATATGCCAAGCTTCCAAACAAAGGCCCTGGAGGTAACGCCGATTAGTGGTGATAATTTTAGAAAAATCCCACCCAATTGTATGGTTAGTTAGGCATGTATGCTCCGATAAGGCTGAATTTTCCTTTTTGCAAAGGAAAACCGCTTTTTGGTGCTCTTTTAACCGTGTACCAAAGTGACGTTTGTTCTGAATACATCGGAAAACGAATACATCGGACAGACCAAACGTCAGTTTGGTACACGTGTCATTTAATAAGATTACTAATTTAAACAAAGGAACGCTTGACACCATTGTGTCAGGGGGTAATTCAGAGTATTTGCAGTTATTCTCCATACGTTACCCAAGTTATAGACGTCTAACAGCTTGACAATGTACTTACCTTTACTTTTGCAGATAAAGTTAGATGGTTGGAAAAACAAAACCAGTAAGAATCCCACCAGAGTTAATACTCCAGGCGCCATTAGAATCACATGCCGCACGTAGTTGCTAAACGCCTCATTTGAGCTGGTTCTAGATTGAATAAAGAAAGTAGGGAGTTTACTAAATCGTGCATATCAATCACAGCGACCATGATTGTTCTTTGTTTCTCCCGTCCAAGCTTCAGTGGAGTGTCTGAAAAAGGATTACAAGGAGTTTTGATAACTTAACAAGGTTCTTTAAAGTCTTCTTACATTTGAATATTTAATTTCAACACTTCAAAATTGGTTCAATTTACATATATCACAGGAAACAGTTTTTGGCTGATCCTGTCACAGGATAAATTTACGATCTCTTCTATAATGAAGACTTTTGCTACTTGTTTTTTCTGGTCGAGCCTTTTCATTGTATTTTTTAAAGTAATTTCTGCCGCAACATCTAAAAATAGTCGCGTGGTTATGGAACAAAAAATAACAAAGTGGCTTTCAAATTAATTCATAAGAATGTACAGAACTGAATCCTACCCTAGCCCTCACAATATTTTGCTCTAACTAAAACGAATCAAGCTCGAAATGCATTGAGCTAATCTTTTGCGTCGTTTGAAGGCCTAGATACTGCTGCCGTGCGCTTCTTTTCTTTGCGGTTTTACTGACACTTTTAGCATAGATAATGTCTGCTTTCTCCACTGAACAACACAGTAGATTGTGAAAGACCACAAAAATTAATTTCGATGCCTGGTGCTATTCTTATCCTCAGTAAACGTTTTTGTTCTTAAAAAACACAATCAATTGACCTTACGTAGAGGAATTCACTAAACCATAAACTGACGTTAGTACATGACCATAGCTTATTATTCTTGAGAGTCATCAAATTGATAAAGATCGAGGTTGATGATAAGGAGACTAATTACTGCAATTTCCATAATTAAAAGCAACTTGATTAAAAAGTATTGATGTAGATTCGATTCAATCTCGTCCGCCGCCACCTCACATGACCTACATTTGGCCGATTATTAAGAAGTGCTTTTAAAACATTGACATTGGAAAAGAGTTTACCATCTCTTTCAACATCTTCTGAAACTAGAAAAACAAATTGACAGAAGAAGGTTTCATTAACAACAAAGACAATCACGTGTAATATTGACTGACAAACCTGAAGCTCTAAGTTTAAAACCGTCCTATTAATTATAACTGAACATGGATAGCAGTACTACATAGACACAAAACCATCACGAGGTAAATGCATTTACACAGGCTTCTGTTATTTGGTAAGATTACTAGTTTAAACGAAGGAACAGCTTGACACCATTGAGTCAGGGGGTAATTCAGAGTATTTGCAGTTATTCTTCATCCGTTACCCAAGTTATAGACGTCTAACAGCAACAATCTCTCAACCGATCAGATGTAACTCGAAATTTCCCAAACTTCAGGCGATCTAACTGTATTTACTTTATATTCTTAGTAGCTGCTTGTGAGATTTTATTTCGTTCGGACAAAGAGTTGTGATTAGTTTGGATTTTGTTTTGCGACATTCAAAAAAACTTTCATGTCATTTCAGTTTCAAAAATGGCTGGTTGGAAATGCACTCTAATGAAATGATCAGAGTTTGCGACTTAGTCTCTCCTCGAAACCATTTAAACTTGTTTCGAGAGACTTACCCTATTTTCCCCGATCAGTTCGGTGATGAAGACCAGTGCTATGAAGTACATAATGGACAGACCACTTCTCATCATACCCACTGGTGCATAAGTTGTCTGGTGGAGAAGGTTTGAAAATAGCTCCAAACAGCGCCACCCGTCACAAATAAACTTGCCAGAAGGTAGCTCCACTAGATGTTAGGGTTATCCCCTGAAGTTAACGAATTATCTGTGGTATCGCAACCTTCTGTTCTTTCGATTTTTCTGCCGTGTTGTTTTGTTGTCAGGCGTACGTGTGATCGGGATTTCTTCCCTGTCGTTCTGTTCCGTTCATTGACAGCATTTCAAGAAGTCCAGAAAGATCGAAAGTCACAAACTTTTTTCGCTTCCTAACTGATGTACTGCAAAGGCTTTCCTTCTTATCATCATGACCTCCATCATCTTCAAACCTTGGTCTTTTTCCACAAACCTTCTTCAGTAGTGTTTTTGATTTCTTTTCGTCTAGCGTTCCACAACTCTTCATCAGTTGCATGATCGTCGGCTTTACCGTCCATTGCAACTTGGTTTTCCATGACAGCAAAAAATGTTGGTCGTTTGTGCTCTTCGTGTTGTAATATCAACAGGATGCCGTCAAAATCAAGCATTAGTGGACTCTTCTTGCGATCACGATCAAGATGCTGTACTTCTAGAACAACTCGTATTTTTGTATCCTTACTTTCTGGATTCTTATGATTTTGATCAATGTTATCTATTTTCTCATCGGCAAACATGGCAACAGCAAACTTCTGCAGAAGACTTCGTTTTCTGACGCGCAATTCATGGCTTTTGGTTTCTCCACCATTATTTGAAAAGGAAATATCCTTTTTGTTTCGTGTCTTACCGTAAGATCCATTGTGGTGGTTTCTTAACTCTGACATTTTTTAGGTTCCTTTGTACCAATGTGGAAGATGGCTGCAAAGAAGAGTCCTGTTCCAGTAGCAATCCACGAGAGGTACTGTTCAGAAAAGAATTAATCAACCCCTTAACTTCCAGAAATGACTAACTTGTAACCTTTCCCTGTAGTAAACATACATTCTCCAGTCAACAGCTGATGAAAATACTCATACTTATCAGATAGAAGTTTTTATCTTGATCTAACACTAAATTCTCAAGAATTAATTTACAAGGAAATGTAAAGGTCCCAGAGTATCGCTATTGTCTTGTCCGAAAAGGCCCCAGGCGATCACGTATATGTACATACAACCAGGGCGCTGAACATTGTCCTTTTGAACAAGAAAAAGAGAAGGAGAAGAAAAATTGTTCTTAGATGTCATTCCTACAGGATACGTTAGGAAAAAACGGCCTCAGAATGTCCGTGCTTGAGTTGAGTTATATAAAAGTCATACAAGTGATTTATACAAGTATATTAAAACAAATATGATTGCCGTTTGAACTACGTGTCTTAAAAAAGGTTTCTTGAAGCAAACTTCATGGCATTAAGAGCTGTACATTCTCGACGGATTCAGTTACAGTTGTAATAAAGGTAATTTACCTCCACAATGCTCAAACAAATGTTGTACACCGAGATCAAGAATACAATTGAAAGCCACCCACCATGATTTCAAGAAAACAGCGGTTAGAAAAAAAAGGAAGGATAATGCTCATTAAAACCATTATCAAAAGGTACCAAGATTTTCGCCCGCCGGAATAATTTGAAAGAAAACTTTTAACTAAAAAATTAGGCTGCCGGCAGAAGTCGTTGAATAAATTTCCTACCGCGCGCAATAGCTGTTCTCTTGTCCGCAATTTAAACAGAAAGTAGACGCAACCAGTGTATATGAAAACTTCGCAAATTAGTTTAATAAAGATTCAACATAATTATCTCGAAGCATGTACAAGTTAACTTGATGCTGTCCTTAAATGGAACCTCAAAAACAAATCCCTACGTAATCGGCTGCTTGAAACTTCATGGGGTGTTATAATTAGAGCAATTGACACGAAACTTGAAGACTTGCACAGGAATACAAGTTGCAGCCATTATGACCAATAAGGTCAATCAACGGCTGAATGTATGATAAAAACTGACGAATATTTACCATACCTAATTTCACATGTGTGAGCACTAAAACTGAAGGTCTGACAGACATACGCATAGGTAGAAGGTTTTTCATTAAATTAGTGTTATTTCTTATGACGTTTACGAAGCAAGAGGCAATGGTACTTAAGTCAACCGACTTACGCTTATATTAGCGTTGCAGGGAAAAGTAACTTTAGGAGAGTTTGATTATGAAATAAAAACTTCGCATCATCATCTGATTAACAAAAATATTACATTATGACGTGTTTCCGTTTTGTTATAGATCAAAGATGGCGTCAGAAGGTGCTCGTGGCACACGAGGCGCAGCCGAGTGTCTAATTGATGTTGTTACCACATTTTGACATATTATGTGATCTTGAAGTGTAAATCCACATTGACATGTAATCTGTTTGTTTTAGATGATAAAAAAAGCAAAATTGTGCGGATGGCGACGTAGACAATGCGTATGTCCTCCAATAGATCTTTGGTAAGAGCCAAACAAAATGGGTGAACAATTAAGTTTAATTTAATATAACACTTTTAAAAATAGCAAACCTGATGGCGCTAAGATCTGTTAGTTCTTCAACCGACACAGCTGAAGTTGTGATGAAAGCCAGGTGATTTATCTCCATCACGCTGAAAGATATGTTATACAGTGAAAACAAGAAACCGTAATAGACGGTGGGAAGCCAAGTTTGATGACTTCCACTACAGAGAATGCAATGGTTGACACAGAGGGGAACTACGATGCCCATAAAAACCGTTGCCATGAGATGCCAGGATTTTCGCATTCCAATTTCTGTGAAAGAACGGGTACTTTAACCATATCGCTGAGGTAACCAGAGATTACTGAAGTCAACGCGTCGACAATTTTTCCAATGAGTATTATAAGTCCAGTGTCTGCAGCTGAAAGTTTCACCACCTCCATGAAAAATAGAAGACAAAATGAAAACATGCACTTACAGAGGTCATTGAATATACTTCCCGCTGCACACAGGAACATTTCTCTTGTGTGCAATGTAAAAACGAGTCTCCTTGGTCTGGACACGCCACTCTCTCTCCCCCACTATGCTTCGATTCTATGGGAAGCCCATTTCTTCCACTTTTATATGGGTGTGTGACGTTCCCACTTGATAAGGAAATAATGCACCAATCACAGCTTGCTTTTTTTTTTTTCCAGATAGCCAATCATATCAATATAGTCTTAGTGAGGTTTCCTACCCCGGCCCTCACAATATTTTATTCTGAGTAAAACGAATCAAGCTGGAAAATCATTAAGTTAATCTTTTGCGTCCTTTGAAAACCTAGATACTATAACTGAGTGCTTCTTTTTTTGACGGTTTTACTGACTTTTTTTTCAGGATAGATAATGTTTGGTTTCTCCATTGAATATCACAGTAGATTGTGAAAGACCAGAATATAGTAGATTTAAAAAAGTTCAAAGCAGTAGAAAAAAATTCTAAAGGTGAACTTGAGCCAAAAGGGAACTTTTCTGTGCAAAGTGAACACGAAATTGAATTCATATTTCGATTCATCATAAATTCAATAAGAAATTTCGGAAAGTGTATGGTTTTTTTCAGTAATTGAGCTGTAAGTTTATTGTAAGTTTTGGAAGATTTTCTTTCCTTGGGTCACGTATCCTGTCCTGTGTAAACGCATTCATGAACATATTCAGTCTGACAGGTTTACTCAATCAAGTCAATTAGACTTGAGGGACTGGACAACTAGTCAATTAGGCTCTCTGAAACCTAGTCAGGTTTGGTGAATTGGAACAAACAGACACTCCTTGGCTCATAGCTAGCAAGGTCAACAAGTTGGAAAGTTCTTGAATTTTTGCGGTGCTTTTAATGTCCACGTACATTAAACGAGAAAGGAACCCATTTTTCTTGCGACAAATTTTGATGCCACTCAACCGTAGAATTCAAACGTTTCAACAAAGAAAAAGAAATGGAAAGCCATTGGATATAAAAGGTCCTGATTTCCTCATTCGCCCCTAGCCGTACTCTTACTACGCACGCTCAAACTAGCTAGCTCGAAGCTCTGTCAGATTCGATCGCCCGGAACAAACAAACAAGCACGTACGTTAAGATAATTTGGATTTATTTATAATTGAGTTGATAATGTAAATTGGCCACGGTAGAGAGTTTCAAAACTGACGTTTCGAGTATTAACCCTTCGTCAGAGCGAGTCGTACTCGGCCGTACTCTTACTACGCATGCTCAAATTAGCTAGCTTGAAGCTATGCCAGGTTCGTTCACCTGGAACAAACAAACACGTGTGTTGACATATATTACTTGGTTTTATTTATAACTGAGTTTATAATGTAAATTGGCCACCTTACAGAGTTTCAAAGCTGACGTTTCGAGTGTTAACCCTTCGAGTGTTATGTAATTAAGACTGTGAACATGATCATAGCAGTTCTTCAAAACCAAGAATGTCGAAATACACTTAGCTATAATGTATGAAAACTTTTGCTTGTCCGCGATTGATCTAAACGGTTCACATTATTTGTTTCGAGATGTGAACAGTTTTCCGAGCAAACATTGAGCTATCAATAGAAAAGAAGAAAATCTAAAAAATTTTGAAAGTAGATAGACTCATTTTCAACTAAGATACTACACTATTATTATCTTTAAACAGACAAGATCACTATTCATCAAAAAATTTAGGAAATGTGGACTCCTGTTCATCTCGGTGCGAGAAGTTATTACGACTTGTCTCCTTTTATTTTACGGAATTCTACGATTCCAAAACTTTTCATGTGAAAGAGTTTTTCCTAAAATCTAAAGAACAACAGATGGAAATGAACTTTACAATCTCTTTGATTTTAACTTGATCGTTAAAAATAAAACAGTTATGGGTTGTATAGGCCGAAATCGTGGGCGTTTCTGTGCAATGACCTTTAAGTAGGTCGACAGAGCGTCTACACATAATGCAATTTTCAAAGAATTCAAAGTTTAGAGTCCTCAGAACAAGAATCCACAACCACGATGGAGGTATTGTGACTATCATCCAAGCTGTGGCCTGACGTTGCTTTGACTCCCGATGTACATTGGTTAACTTGAACATCAAACGACGATTGGCCGTGTAGAGCCTCAACATCTTCTGAAACTGAAAGTACAAATTGACAGACGTTTTCGTTGACAACAAAGACAACCACGTGTAATACTGACTAACAAACATGAAGCTCTAAGTTTAAAACCGTCTTATTAACTTAGCATGGATAGCAGTACTACATAGATACAAAACTATCACGAAGTAAATGCATTTAAACAGGCTTGTGTTATTTGGTAAGATTACTAGTTTAAACAAAAGAACGCTTGACTCCATTGCGTCAGGGGGTAATTCAGAGTATTTGTAGTTATTCTCATTACGTTACCCAAGTTATAGACGTCTAACAGCTTGACAATGAACTTACCTTTACTTTTGCAGATAAAGTTAGATGGTTGGAAAAACAAAACCAGCAAGAATCCCACCAGCGTTAATACTCCAGGCGCCATTACAAACACATGCCGTACGTAGTTGCTAACCGCCTCATTTGAGCTGGTTCTAAATTGAATAAAGGAATTGAGGGGTTTACTAAATCGTGCGTAATTTTAAAACCGTCATTGAAGTTTCAAATTGTCAACGGTGGCCTTGTCAAGCTGGTGAAGACAAACATGTTGAATATACTTTTCGAGTTTTAACAAATCGGCCGGTCATCTAAACGTTTTAAATACCATGTTTCTTGTTCTTTCTAGGGTAAATTACAATAAAGATTTGATAGACTAACCTTTCTTCTGGATAAAATTCCTGTATACCAATGATAAGTGCACCCTTTGAGATTCTGGCGATTACAGTGATAATGGAAAACACTGATCCACTGGTTTCCTGACAGGAAATCACCGTATTAACTAATTGATCTCAGATGGGAAACCAACATTAGTACTAACATTTACGTAATTTTTAACTCTTTACCCCCAGGCCTAAGACCAACAGGTCTTTAATTTCTCCTCCCAGTGTCACTACTGAATCAAACATTTACGACAAGAGAGAAAAAGGTAAATGATCGCCAATCAAAATAAAGGTCTTGATTGTTCGAATAATTATCCCTATTAGTATCATGGTAAATTTATAGAGAGCACTATGGAAAATATGCATACTAATCATGGTATAATCAAGTTTCAGAACTAGTCCGCGACGGAAACGGTTCTTTTTCAGTACCCTCTGTGATTGGCCTTGAAAACTCGCGACAATCTCTCAACTGATCAGATGTAAATCGAAATTTCCCAAACTTCAGGCGATCTAACTGTATTTACTTGAAATTCTCAGTAGCTACTTGAAAGATTTTATTTCGTTCTGACAAAGAGTTGGGATGAGTTTGGATTTTGTTTTGCGACATTCAAAACAACTTTCATGTCATTTCAATTTCAAAAATGGCTGGTTGAAAATGCACTGTAACTGAACTGAGCAGATTTTGCGTCTCTCCTCGAGACCATTAAAACTCGTTTCAAAACACTAACCCTATTTTCCCCGATCAGCTCGGTGATGAAGACCAGTGCCATGACGTACATTATGGACACACCACTTCCTATCATAACCACTGGTGCATAAGTTGATTGTCTGATGGAGAAGGTTTGAAAATAGCTCCAAACAGCGCCACCCATCACTAATAAACTTGCCAGAAGGTAGCTCCACTATGATGTGCATATCAATGAAAGTATGAAAGTTACTAAGACTAAGTTAACAAATAAAGTTTTTCTTGGTTCTGTAACAAGCAAGACATAAAAAAAGATCTGAGAATCCTTTGAGTAAAACTTGAAACTTGAGGAAAGATGGTTCATTTGTCGAGTAAAGTTAATTAAAGCCATTAAGATGATCGTTGACTTATTGCCCCTCTCAGCCACTCATCATCAACTAGTAGATAAGCCGACGTTTGGCGCAATCAATGCATTTCCACTATCACAAACGTAGAATGACCAGCTAGAAGAAGCTGATAATCTAGGTCTTACCTTACTTCCAATTTTTCTTTTCAGTTTCTTACACGTTGAACTTGCTAAAGAGCTACTGGTTAGGAGGACGAGTGGGAAATAAGCGGTAGCTGCCTGATTCAGGAAAAAAATACGATGATATTATTATAATTATTAATAAGTTTGAAAACAACTGAGCACTTCAGATTGAACTATACCTTGGGGAATGATAATCTCTCTGTGAGGAAGAGCGGTAAATAACTGTGTACAGAGTCCTGCGCAAGGCGTGTACATGTAAAGATAATGGCTACCTGAAAATTAAAACACGAGAAAAACATCAAAGAAAGTCAACTAAATCAACATACAAGGATAGTTGGAAACACAAGGGTTTACCATGTACACTTTTGGATCTTTTAGCCAGTTTTTGATTCCTCTTGGACGTCTTCCCTCAGATAGAGAACTTGTCGATTGAACAGGGAGACCAAGAAGATCAGTTTTATCCGCTGAAGTTAACGAATTATTAGTGCCATCGCAACCTTCTATTCTTTCGATTTTTCTGACGGGTTGTTTTGGAAAATCTTGCATACTTTCATCCAGACTCGTTTTGTTGTCAGGCGTGTGATCGAGATTTAATTCCTGTCGTTCTGTTCCATTCATTGACGGCATTTCCAGAAATCCAGAAGGATCGAAAGTCCTAGACTTTCTTTGCTTCCTAACTGATGTACTGCAAAGGCTTTCCTCCTTATCATCAGCACCTCCATCATCTTCAAATCCAGAGTTAGAGAGCCCAAATTTACCATCATCCGGAAAAAGCACCATTCCATGTTTTCTTTGCTTAAGTACGATACAAAAAGATGTCTTGGGGGCCGCGCTGATGGTCATTTTCCACATACCTTTTTCAGTAGTGTTTTTGATCTCTTCTTGCCTGGCGTTCCACGACTCTTCATCGGTTGAATGATCATCGGCTATACCGTCCATTGTAACTGGATTTTCCATGGCACCAAAACATGCTGGTTGTTCGTGCTCTTCGTGTTGTAGTCTCAACAGGATGTCGTCAAAATCAAGCGTTCGTAGACTCTTCTTGCGTTCACTATCAAAATGCTGTACTTCTAGATCAGTTTTCCCGTCGGCAAACATAGCAACAGCAAACTTCTGCAGAAGACTTCGTTTTCTGACACGCAATTCATGGCTTTTGGTTTCTCCATTTCCGTCCATCTCATTTTGATGTTCTTCATATTCAGTTGAAGCCATAACCATGTTAGTAAACTTAAAAGCCAGACTGGTCCGTCTAGAATCTTGAGCAAAAACAAACAAAACAAGCAATTAACGAACGTCTGTTTTTTCTGTCTCAGGGCTCAACGATAGAACTAAATCATGTCACCTTTAGGAACATGTCTTAACTCTTTGTCGGATCAACTATTAATATTTATTCCCTCAAAATGATCTCAATAATATTTTTATAACACGGGATATCTGGACTTCTTCTGGTTTTTTTTTGTTATACTTCTTTTCCCGTTGGAACTTGTAAGTGAAAAATCTGAGTAACCCAAGCTAAGCTAAAGGTTTTGCGCTGCGCTGGAAAAAAAGTTATAATAAAGTTGTCCAAAAAGACGATCCTTAGAAGGCTAGGTTGACGGATGAAATTCCTTGCCTTATCCTCACCATCTACTTAGCTGTTTCTTCGAAGTAAAACTCGAGCTACTAATGTAGTCGACATTTAGCCTCTTGGCGGAATTCAGTCTGGAAATAACTGGAGTTTCAGGTTTGGATATCCTAACTGTTACCACTAATCTTAATCTCCAGTCGACATGCGCTTCTGAACTAGATATTTTGCTTTAAAGAGGAGGTTGTCTAAACATTTCAAGTAAAATTGGTGCTGTCTACAGACTGGACCACCTGTATCAAACTTGTGGCATGCCTGCACACAGTCATGGCCAATAGATTCTCAAAATTACCGAGGCAACAATACACTAGATATTAAGAAGCTCCATGCATAAATAAGACCTTTCCCCCTTAATATGAAGACGAGTAACGTTTTTCATATATGTAGTTTAGTTTGATGTCGGAGAGGACGTTACATCTGCAATTTAACAGAACAAACGACGGTTTTAAGATAATACACCACAGTACATCTCCGTAGACTTACTTGCATTTTCGGGTACAAACTCTTCAATGAATTTTTCAGAAGCTTTCTGCAAAATAACGGGAAAGTGGCCAGAGTGAATTGAAAGTTGCTTTAGATAATGTGTAGACCATACCTCTATCCCTCTGGTCATGCTATGTAACTTCAAGACCCGTTCAGATTAATAGACCTCTTTAAGATAAATCAAATGAAGAACGAAGAAACAGTCGCGCAAGCGCGCCGCTTTTAGCTCCATAGTGTTGTCTGCTTTCCGAACGCAAAAATAAGCTTTTGTATGACCTATATCTGAAAAGAAAAGGAAGTATCTTTTTTTCTTCCTGTCTTACCGTACAATCCGTTGTGGCGCTTTCTTTATTCTGACATTTTTGAGGTTCCTTTGTACCAATGTGGAAGATGGCTGCAAAGAAGAGTCCTGTTCCAGTAACAATCCACGAGAGGTGCTGTTTAGAAAAAAATTAATCAACTAGCATCTTAACCCTTTAACTCCCAGAAATGATTAACTTGTAACCTCTCCCTGTTGTAAACATACGTTATCCAGCCAACAGCTGATGAGAATACTCATACTTATCAGGGAGAAGTTTTTATCTTGATCTAACACTAAATTCTCAAAATTAATTTACAAGGAAATGCAAAGCAGCTCCAAGAGAGAATTGACAATCAGATCTTGAAAGTTGAAAGGTTAAGGACATAAAAAGAAGGTTTTTGATGCCAGCAGAGATGTGTGGAAGGAGGCTGAAAGGCTGTCAGGCAGTGCAGCAAGAGAAAACCAAATTTCTCCGATCCGTTTTTTAATTGCGTTTTTTTTAAAAATTTCATTGTATTGAGCTTCCGCCTGTTTGTCAAAGCATATCGTAGCATAGAATTATTTTCGAAGCTACGCTTACCACAAAATCTGGAAGGCTCTGGGGTCCCAGAGTATCGCTATTGTCTTGTCCGAAAAGGCCCCAGGCGATCACGTATATGTAAATACCACTAAGGAAGCTGAACATTGTCCTTTTGAACAAGAAAAAGAGAAGAGTAAGGAAAATTGTTCTTAGATGTCACGTTTATCATTTCTACAGGATAACTTAGGAAAAAACGACCTCAGAGTGTCCGTGCTTGAGTTGAGTTATATAAAAGTCATACAAGTGTTTATACAAGTATATTTAAAACAAGTACGATTGCCGTTTGAACAATGTCGTAAAAAAAGTCTCTTGAAGCAAACTTTATGGCACCAATAAAACTGTACATTCTTGACGGATTCAGTAACAGTTGTAATCAAGATAATTTATCTCCACAATGCTCAAACAAATGTGGTACACCGAGATCAAGAGGATGTAAGAGACAATTGAAAGCCACCCACCATGATTTCTATTACAAAGAAAACAGCGATGAAAAAACAAAGGAATTATAATGCTCATTAAAACCGTTATCAAAAGGTGCCAAGATTTTCGCCCACCGGGATTCTTTGAGAGAAAACTTTTAAATGAAAAATTAAGCTGCCGGCAGACTTCTTTGAATAATTTTCCTACCGCGCGCAATAGCTGTTCTCTTGTCCGCATTTTAAACAGAAAGTAGACGCAACCAGTCTATATGAAAACTTCGCAAATTAGTTGGATAAAGATTCAACATAATTATCTCGAATCATGTAAAAGGTTACATGATGCTGTCCTTAATGCAATCTCAAAAGTAAATCCCTGCGTAATTGACCGCTTGAAACTTCATGGGGTGTTATAATTGGAGCAATTGACACGAAACCTAAAGCCTCACACAGGAATACAAGTTGCAGTCTCTTATGGCCAGTAAGGTCAATCAACGGCTGAATGCATGATAAAAACTGATGAATCTGTACGAAGCTTAATTTCACATGTGTCAGCAATTAAAATGGAGTTCTGAGCAGACTTACGCATAGGTAGAAGGTTTTTCATTAAATTATTTTTTCTGACTTTTACGAAGCAAGAGGCAATGGTACTTAAGTCAACCGATTTACACTTACATTAGAGTTGTAGTGAAAAGTAACTTCAAGAGAGTCTGATTATGAAATAAAAACTTTGCGTCATCATCTGTCTGGCAAAATTATCACGTTATGACGTGCTTCCGTTTTGTTACAGATCAAAGGTGCCGTCAAAATGTGCTCGTGGCACACGAGGCGCAGCCGAGTGTATAACTGATGTTCTTACCACATTTTGACATATTATTTGATCTTTAACTGTAAATCCACGTCAACATGTAATCTGTTTGTTTTAGATGATAAAAGCAAAATTGTGCGGATGGCAACGTAAACTATGCGTCTGTCCTCCAGTAGATCTTTGGTAAGAGCCAAACAAAATGAGTGAACAGTTGAGTGTAATTTAATTTAATACTTTTATAAATAGCAAACCTGATGGCGCTAAGATCTGTTCGTTCCTCAACCGACCCAGCTGTAGTTGTGATGAAAGCCAGGTGATTTATCTCCACCACGCTGAAACACATGTTAAACAGTGAGTACAAGAAACCATAATAGACGGTGGGAAGCCATGTTTGATGTCTTCCACCACAGAGAATGCAACGGTTGATGCAGAGAGGAACTACGATGCCCATAAAAACCGTTGCCAGGAGATGCCAAGATTTTCGCATTCCAATTTTCTGTGAAAGAACGGGTACTTTAACCATATCGCCGAGGTAACCACAGATTACTGAAGTCAACGCGTCAACAATTTGTCCAATGAGTATTATAAGTCCAGTGTCTACAGCTGAAAGTTCCACTACCTCCATCAAAAATAGGAGAGAAAATGAAAACATGTACTTGCAGAGGTCATTGAATATACTTCCCGCTGCACACAGTAACATTTCTCTTGTACGCATTGTAAAAACGAGGCTCCTTGGTCTGGGCACGCCACACTCTCTTTCCCCCGCTTAAACCTGCTTCGATTCTATGGGAAGCCTATTTTTACCATTTTTATATGGGTGTGTGACGTTCCCACTTGATAAGAAAATAATGCATCAATCACTGCTCGCTTTTTGTTTTCCAGAGAGCCAATCATATCAACAGTGTCTTAGTGAGGTTTCCTACCCCAGCCCTCACAATATTTTACTCTGACTAAAACGAATCAAGCTCGAAACGCAGTAAGCTAATCTTTTGCGTCGTTTGAAAACTTATAGATACTATAACTGGGTGCTACTTTTCTTGGCAGTTTTACTGACCCTTTTAAGGTAGACAATGTTCGGTTTCTCCATTGAATATCACAGTAGATTGTGAAAGAGCAGAAAAATTTAATTCGATGTCTGGTGCAATTCGTATCCACAGTAATTTTTTTGTTCTTATTACACACACAATAAATTGACCTTGCTTAGAGGAATTCGCTAAACCATAGATTGACGCTAGAACTTGGCTATAGCTTATTATTCTTGAGAGTCATCAAATTGATAAAGATCGGGGTTGATGATAAGTAGACTAATTATTGCAATTTCCATAATTAAAAGGAAGTTAATTGAGAAACATTGTTGCCAAGTCTCGTTCACCGCCACCTCCCATGACCTACATTTGGCCGATTATTAAGTAGTGCTTTTAAGACATTCACATTAGAAATGAGTTTACCGTCTCTTTGGAAGAAGAAATATATGAACTGAATAACCTCCTCCTTCATCGTTACTTGGATATCAAAGTAACATGTTTATATAGCCGGCGAACTGACCTTACGTAATTGAAAGTGCAGAAACTAAAATGTTCCGCATAATTACAGGCTCAAACGCGACTAATTTTGGCTTGTTTTGAGTCATTGATACAAATTAGAATAGTTTAGAGTTGTGGATTGCAAAAGCAATTATTTGAAGTGAAATGCAGTTGCAAACCATCTGTTCACTTTGAACTTTCTTTCGTATGCTGGCAATTTAATCTCAAGCAAGTAATTGCACTATGTCTTTCTTGAAAGACAATTGTTAGACAAGGTAGTTCTATTCGAGCAACCATTGTCTGAGGTCTCCATTAGTAAAGATACTGCTGTCTCAGAACTAAAACATCCCGTAACCATTAACGTAGCTCTACAATAATCTTGTGTATGGTTTTATGCAACAAAACCCACGCATATTATACTTCTGAAAAGAAATTATAGATTTGTGTCCTCAGGAAAACAATGAACCGCGGCGACGGAAGAGTTTTGATTTGCATCTAATCACACCTTTGGCGTTGCTTTGTTTCGAAGAGAAGCTGAGGAAGTGGAACATCAAACGATGATTGATCTGCTTGAGCCTCAACATCCTGTGCGTCTGCACACGAGAAATGGCACACGTAAAGGTTATGCAATGGAGGGCATACAACAATATATGAAATAACGCTCCAAATCTATTATCAAAAGCAGAGGAATTAGAACAAAAAGTAGAGAAAGTCTCTGCGTCGGTATACGGTTTCTTGCGTAAAACCAAACAGAATACTTCAGACGTCATTGCTGACACATTTTGCATTTAGTTGCATACAACAATATATGAAATAACACTCCAAACTTACTTTCAAAAGTAGAGGAATTAGAACAAAAAGCGGAGAAAGTTTTTGCGTGGGTATACGGTATCTTGCGTGAAAGAATAAATTTTTGTGACCATTCGCTTGGAGAGGAGTCTGTGTATATTCAATCATTCTGCGTAATTACCAGTATGCTAGACGGGCATGTGAATTAAGATTTAAATCAACGTTGTTACCTTTCGTTTGGAAGCAAACTTTTGACGGTTGGAGAGGCAAAACCAATAGGAATTCCATCAAACAGAATACTTCAAATGTCATTGCTTAGGCATTTTGCACGTATTTGCCAACAGCCTCGCTTGAGCTAATTTGAATCGAGAGTAGGAAATTGGGTACATCAGAATATAGTAGATTTTAAAAAGTTGAAAGCTGATGAAAAAATTTTAAGGGTGAACTCGAGCCTATAGGGCACTTTTCTGTGCAAAGTGAACATGAAATTGAATTCATATTTAGAGTTCTCATCAATTCAATAAATTTGCATTGCAGCCATCAATTTATAAATTGCTCTTGTCGCGCGGTTGTTAAGTAACTACACCGACATTAGAAATTTACAGAGTGCTGTTCTATTATGGAAAAAAAAAGAAAGGTTCTGGGGAAATTTAGATTGATTATTATGTTTTAGTGTTTATTTTGCATTGGCTAGGAAATGCATGCGATTTAGAGAAAAGAAATGGTGCGATTCGTGACCCCAGTCAGATTGCAGGAATCACCAGGGATTTTCAAAGTGAATATAGTATACGCATTTATTCTGCATACTCTGTCTGCTGGTTCACAATATTTGAACCCTTGAAATACGGTTCGAGATCTCTAAGCGAAATCAATACAGAAAAAAGAGAGCCAGGTAAATTGACCGTAATAACGAAAGCTCGGCTGGAAAGTGTCTTTTCAGTGGCCTGCACTCGAAAAATTGCTAAGGCAAGACAACTTTCCGACCTGTCTATGCAATGTACCAGTGTCGTAACAAATAAGAAATTTCGGAAAGTATATGTATATTTTTTTTTTCAGCAATTGAACTATAAGTTTACTGTAAGGTTTGGCAGATTTTCTTTACTTGGGTCACGTATCCTGTCCAGTGCAAACGTATTCATGAACATATTCAGTCTGACAGATTTACTCAGTCAAGTCAATTAGGCTTGGGGGACTAGGCAACTAGGCAATTAGGCTCTCTGAAACCCAGTCAGGTATGGTTAATCGGAACAACCAGACACTCCATGGCTCGTAACTAGCTAGGTCAACAAGTTGGAAAGTTCTTGAATTTTTGCGGTGCTTTTAATGTCCACGTACATTAAAAGAGAAAGCAACCCATTTTTCTTGCGACTAAATTTGATACCACTCAACCATAGAATCGAAACGTTTCAACAAAGGAGAAAATAGAAAACCATTGGAGACAAAAGGCCCTGATTCCTTCATTCGTCCTCAGCCGTACTCTTACAACGCATGTTCAAACTAGCGAGCCTCAAGCTCTGTCAGGTTCGATCATCCGGAAGGAACAAACAAGCACGTACATTAAGATAATTTGGATTTATTTATGACTGAGTTGATAATGTAAATTGACCACGGTAGAGAGTTTCAAAGCTGACGTTTCGAGTGTTAACCCTTCGTCAGAGCGAATCGCACTCGGCATAACTCTTACTACGCGTGCTCAAATTAGCTAGCTTGAAGCTCTGTCAGGTTCGATCACCTGGAACAAACAAACAAGCACGTATGTTGAGATAATTTGGTTTTATCTACTGAATTGATAATGCAAATTGGCTACGTTAGAGAGTTTCAAAGCTGACTTTTCGAGAGTTAACCATTCGTCGGAGCGAATCGTACTCGGCCGTACTCTTACTACGCATGCTCAAATTAGCTAGCTTGAAGCTCTCTCAGGTTCGTTCACCTGGAACAAACAAAGACGTATTTTAACATATATTACTTGGTTTTATTTATAACTGAGTTGATAATGTGAACTGGACACGTTAGAGAGTTTCAAAGCTGACTTTTCGAGTGTTAGCCCTCCGTCAAAGCGAATGGAAACACCTACCTAAGATTGCCTTATCCTGTTGAAAACTGAGGACGTCCAAATGAAGTATCGCAATGGCTGTCTTTATTTCCGGTGTTAAAAGAAACGCACTACCCTTAATTGTAACTCAATCGTAAGGAAGGTCTCTCCAACTGTCATCCAGCCTTCTTCAAAAACAGTCGTCCTTTCAAACAACCCTGAGTATAATTTTCCTGTTTCTCATCAAAACATACGGAGGTAAAGTAAGTTACATGGGCTGGAGTGTCATTTGACGATAAGCACACGATTTAGGTATCAAATGTTTCAAGGGTCGATGTCAGCATTGTCGGATAGTGACTTTGTTTACTGAACACGTGTTGTCACGCAATTTCACGTGTAAAGTAGCTAATTGAGCGTGACCCTCGTGGTGAACACCAGCTGAATAACAACAAACACCAATACTACCAACCTGTTTTCGTTCGAAGTCTGATGTTTTTATTAAAATAATAACCAAAGAAACTTTTTTACCCTAACGTAAGAAATTGAATTTCAAAACACTTAAACTAAAATGAGGAGAAAGGAACAAGCTGGGTACGATCAGAGGGTGTAAACTGTAATATTTTTTTTACATTTCAGTCTGCAATAGACTTAGTATTTCCACGGTTAACTTTTATTTTTCACTGAAATCTTAATTAAAGACTCGTCAGTTTACATCTCATCTACTTCTTGTTACATTTTTTATGTAAGGAATATGCTGGTCTAGATATTGACTCTGAACAACCTTATTTCGAAGTCTGAACAAGGAGCCTTCCCCACCCCCTTCCCTTCCTTTTAACCCTTCCTACCCTCCTTGTCCTCCTTAGTTAGTTTCAAGCATAATTAGGACTGCGAACATGATCATACCAGTTATTCAAAATCAAAAATATCATAATACATGTAACTATAATCTATGAAAACTTCTGCTTGCATTGTCCACCATTGATCTAAACGGTTCACATTATTTATTCCGAGATGTGAACAGTTTTCTGAGCGCGAAGTTCGAGGAAAACTTTGAGCTATCAATAGAAATCAAGAAGATCTAAACAATTTTGAACATTGATGGACTCATTTTCAATTAAAATACTATGCTATTCTTATTACTATTATTAAACAACAAGATAACTATTTATCTAAAATTTAGCAAAAGTAGACTCTTGTTCATCTTGGTGCGAAAGGTCTTTACGACTTGTCTGCTTTTATTTTACGGAATTCTACGATCACAAAACTTTTCATGTGAAAGGGTTTTTCCTAAAATCTAAACAAGAACAGACAGAAAACGAACTATACTATCTCTTTGATTTTAACTTGATTGTTGAAAATGAAACAATTAGCAGTCAAATCGTGCAGGCCCAAATCTTGGGCCTATCTGTGCAATGACCTTTTAGTAGGTCGACGGAGCCTCTACACATAATGCAATTTTCAAAGAATTCAAAGTTTTGAGTCCCCAGAACAAGAATCCCCCACCACGATGGAGGTATTGTGACTATCATCCAAGCTGTGGTTTGACGTTGCTTTGACTCCCGATGGACGTGGAACATCAAACGACGATTGGCCCTGTAGAGCCTCAACATCTTCTAAAGCTAGAGGAATAAATTGACAGAGGAAGTTTTCCTTGACAACAAAGACAACCGCATGTAATACTGACTAACAAACCTGAAAATCTAAGTATAAAACCGGCAGTACTACATAGACGCAGAACCATCACGAGGTAAATGCATTTACACAGGCTTGTGTCATTTAATGAGATTACTAATTTCAACAAAGGAACGCTTGATACCATTGCGTCAGAGGGTAGTTCAGAGTATTTGCAGTGATTCTCCATACGTTACGCAAGTTATAGACGTCTAACAGCTTGACAATGTACTTACCTTTACTTTTGCAGATAAAGTTAAATGGTTGGAAAAACAAAACCAGCAAGAATCCCACCAGAGTTAATACTCCAGGCGCCATTACAAACACATGCCGTATGTAGTTGCTAACCGCCCCATTGGAGCTGATTCTAAATTGAATAGAGGAATTGAGGAGTTTACTAAATCGTGCATAATTTTAAAACTGTTGTTAAAATTTCAAATTGTCAAGGATGGCCTGGTCAAGCTGGTAAAGACAAACATGTTGAATATACTTTTCGAGTTTGAACAAATCGGCTGGTCATCTAAACGTTTTATATAGCATGTTTCTTGTTCCTTCCAAGGTACATTACAATAAAGATTTGATAGACCAACCTTTCTTCCGGATAAAATTCCTGTATACCAATGATAAGTACACCGCTTGAGACTCTGGCGATTACAGTGATAATGGAAAACACTGATCCACTGGTTTCCTGACAGGAAATTCCCGTATTAACTCATTGATCTCAGATGGGAAACCAACATTAGTACTAACATTTACGTAATTTTTAACTCTTTACCCCCAGGCCTAAGACCAACAGGTCTTTAATTTCTCCTCCCAGTGTCACTGCTGAATCAAACATTTACTTCAAGAGAGAAAATGGTAAATGATCGCCAATCAAAATGAAGGTCTTGATTTTCAGAAAAATTCTCCTTGTTAGTTTTATGGTAAATATATAGAGAGCACTCTGGAAAATACGCACACTGATCATGGTGTTAATCAAGTTTCGGAACTAGTCCGCGACTGAAACGGTTCTTTTTCAGTACCCTCTGTGACTGGAAAACTCGCAACAATCTCTCAACCGATCAGATGTAACTCGGAGTTTCCCAAACTTCAGGCAATCGAACTGTATTTACTACAAATTCCCATTAGCTCCTTGTAAGAGTTTTATTTCGTTCTGACAAAGAGTTGGGATGAGTTTGGATTTTGTTTTGCAACATTCAAAAGAAATTCCACGTCATTTCAATTTCAAAAATGGCTGGTTGGAAATCGAAACCATTAAAACTTGTTTCGAAACACTAACCTTATTTTCCCCGATCAGCTCGGTAATGAAGACCAGTGCCATGACGTACATAATGGACAGACCACTTCCTATCATAACCACTGGTGCATAAGTTGATTGTCTGGTGGAGAAGGTTTGAAAATAGCTCCAAACAGCACCACCCATCACTAATAAGCTTGCCAGAAGGTAGCTCCACTAGATGTGCATATCAATGAAGGTATGAAAGTTACTAAGACTAATTTAACAAATAAAGTTGTTCTTGGTTCTGTAACAAGCAAGACACAAAGAAAAGATCTGAGAATCCTTTTGTGCTGCGCTGAAAAAAAAGTTATGGTAAAGTTGCCTAAAGAGACGATCCTTAGAAGGCGGGGTTGACGGATGAAATTCCCTGCCTTATCCTCGCCATCTATTTGGCTGGTTCTTCGAAGTAAAACTCAAGCTACTAACGTAGTCGACATTTAGCCTCTTGGCGGAATGCAGTCTAGAAATAACCGAGGAGAGTTTGAGGGTTGGATATCCTTGCTGTGACCACTAATCTTAATCTCCATTTGACATGCGCTTCTGAACTAGATATTTTGCTTTAAAGAGCACGTTGTCTAAACATTTCGAGCAAAATTGGTGCTGTCTCCAGATTGGACCACCTGTATCAAACTTGTGGCATGCCTGCACACAGCATGGTTTATAGATTCTCAAAAATACCGAGACAACAATACGTTTTTGCGTTTTTCATTTTTGTCGTTCAGTTTGATGTGGGAAAAGACATTAGATTTGCAATTTTAAAGAAACGACTCCAATATGATGTACATATCAATGAAAGTATGAAAGTTACTAAGACTAATTTAACAAATAAAGTTGTTATTGGTTCTGTAACAAGCAAGAAACGAAGAAAAGGTCTGAGAATCCTTTGAGGAATCGAACTTCTGACTACCTTTACTTGAGAAAAGATGGTTCATTTGTCCATTAAGTTAAATAAAGCCATTGAGATGATCGTTGATTTATTGCCCCTCTCAGCCAATCATTATCAACGAGTAGATAAGCCGACGTTTGGCGCAATCAATGCATTTCCACTATCATAAAGGTGGAGTGACCAGTTAGAAGAAGCTGTTAATCTAGGTCTTACCTTACTTCCAATTTTCCCTTTCAGTTTCTTACACGTTGAACTCGCTAGAGAGCCACTGGTTAAGAGGACGAGTGGAAAATAAGCGGTAGCTGCCTGATTCAGAACAAAAGTAGGATGAGATTATTATAATAATGAAAGAGTTTGAAAACAATTGAGCACTTTAGATTGAACTATACCTTGGGAAATGATAATCTCTCTGTGAGGAATAGCGGTAAATAGCTGTATACAGAGTCCTCCGCAAGGCGTGTACATGTAAAGATAATGGCTAACTGAAAATTAAAACACGAGAAAAACATCACAGGGAGTCAACTAAATCAACAAACAAGGATAGTTGGAAACACGAGGGTTTACCGTGTACACGTTTGGATCTTTTAGCCAGTTTTTGATTCCTTTTGGACGTCTTCCCTCAGATGTAGAACTTGTCGATTGAACAGGGATACCATGAAGATCAAGGTTATCCGCTGAAGTTAACGAATTATTTGTGCCATCGCAACCTTCTATTCTTTCGATTTTTCTGACGTGTCGTTTTGGAAAATCTTGCGTACTTTCATCCAGAATCGTTTTGTTGTCAGGCTTGTGATCGAGATTTAATCCATGTCGTTCTGTTCCATTCATTGACGGCATTTCCAGAAATCCAGAAGGATCGAAAGTCACAGACTTTTTTTGCTTCTTAATTGATGTACCGCGAAGGCTTTCCTTCTTATCATCATCACCTCCATCATCTTCAAATCCAGAGTTAGAGAGACCAAATTTACAATCATCCGGAAAGAGCACCATTCCATGTTTTCTTTGCTTAAATACGGTACAAAAAGATGTCTTGGGGGCCACGCTGTTGGTCATTTTCCACATATCTTTATCAGTAATGTTTTTGATCTCTTCTTGCTTGGCGTTCCACGACTCTTCATCAGTTGCATGATCATCGTCTATACCGTCCATTTTAACTTGGTTTTCCATGGCACCAAAACATGTTGGTTGTTCGTGCTCTTCGTGTTGTAGTCTCAACAGGATGTCGTCAAAATCAAGCGTTCGTAGACTCTTCTTGCGTTCATTATCAAAATGCTGTACTTCTAGATCAGTTTTCCCGTCGGCAAACATAGCAACAGCAAACTTCTGCAGAAGACTTCGTTTTCTGACACGCACTTCATGGCTTTTGGTTTCTCCACATCCGTCCATCTCATTTTGATGTTCTTCATATTCAGTTGAAGCCATAACCATGTTAGTAAACTTAAAAGCAAGACTGGTCCGTCTAGAATCTTGAGCAAAAAAAAAACAAAACAAGCAATTAACGAACGTCTGTTTTTTCTGTCTCAGCTCAACGATAGAACTAAATCATGTCACCTTTAGGAACATGTCTTAACTCTTTGTCGGATCAACTATTAATATTTATTCCCTCAAAATGATCTCAATAATATTTTTATAACACGGGATATCTGGACTTCTTCTCGTTGTTTTTTGTTATACTTCTCTCCCCGTTGGAACTTGTAAGTGAAAAATCTGAGTAACCCAAGCTAAGCTAAAGGTTTTGCGCTGCGCTGGAAAAAAAGTTATAGTAAAGTTGTCCAAAAGACGATCCTTAGAAGGCTAGGTTGACGGATGAAATTCTTTGCCCCATCCTAGCCATCTACTCGGCTGGTTCTTCGAAGTAAAACTCGAGCTACTAACGTAGTCGACATTTAGCTTCTTAGCGGAATGCAGTCTAGAAATAACTGAAGAGAGCTTGAGGGTTGGATATCCTTACTGTGACCACTAATCTTAATCTCCAATTGACATGCGCTTCTGAACTAGATATTTTGCTTTAAAGAAGACGTTGTCTAAACATTTCTAGATGGGACCACCTGTATCAAACTTGTGGAATGCCTGCACACAGTCATGGTTAATAGATTCTCAAAAATACCGAGGCAACAATACACCAGATATTAAGAAGCTCCATGCAAAAATAAGACCTATTCCCCTTAAGATGAGGACGAGTGGCGTTTTCATCTTTGTTTGATGTGGCAGAGGATGTTACATCTGCAATTTTAATAGAAACAACGACGGTTTTTAAAATAATACACCACAGTACATATACATAGACTTACTTGCATTTTCGGGTCCAAACTCTTCAATGAATTTTCCAGGAGCTTTCTGCAAAATAACGGGAAAGTGGCCGGAGTGGATTATGGGTTGCTATAGATAATGTGTAGACCATACCTCTATCCCTTTGGTCACGCAATGTAACTTCAAGACCCGTTCAGATTAATAGACCTCTTGTAGATAAATCAAATGAAGAACGAAGAAACAATCGCACAAGCGCGCCGCTATTAGCTCCATGGTGTTGTCTGCTTTCCGAACGCAAAAATAAGCTTTTGTATGACCTATATCTGAAAAGAAAAGGAAATATCTTTTTTGCTTCCTGTCTTACCGTAAGATCCGTTGTGGCGTTTTCTTTACTCTGACATATTTGAGGTTCCTTTGTACCAATGTGGAAGATGGCTGCAAAGAAGAGTCCTGTTCCAGTCGCAATCCACGAGAGGTGCTGTTTAGAAAAAAATTAATCAACTATCATATTAGTTCTTTAACTCCCAGAAATGATTAACTTGTAACCTCTCCCTGTAGTAAACATCCATTCTCCGGCCAACAGCTGATGAGAATAGTCGTACTTATCAGATAGAAGTTTTTATCTTGATCCAACACTAAATTCTGAAAATTAATTTATAAGGAAATGTAAAGCAGCTCCAAGAGAGAATTGACAGTCAGATCTTGAAAGTTGCAAGGTTCGGGACAAAAAAAAATATTTTTAATGCCAGCAGAGATGTGTGGAAAGAGGCTGAAAGGCTGCCAGGCAGCGCAGGGAGAGAAAACCAAATTTCTCCAACCCGTTTTTTAATTGCGCTAATTATTATTTCATTATATTCAGCCTCCGCCTATTTGTCAAAGCATATTGTAGCATAGAACTATTAACGCATTTATTTACCACAAAATCTGGAAGGCTCTCAGGTCCCAGAGTATCAGTATTGTCTTGTCCGAAAAGGCCCCAGGCGATCACGTATATGTAAATACCACTTAGGAAGCTGAACATTGTCCTTTTGAACATGAAAAAGAGAAGAATAAGAAAAATTGCTTTTAGATATCGCGTTTATCATTCCTACAAGATAAGTTAGTAAAAAATGACCTCAGAGTGTCCGTGCTTGAGTTGGGTTATATAAAAGTTATACAAGTAGTTTATACAAGTATATTTAAAACAAATACGATTGCCGTATGAACTATGTGTCTTAAAAAAAGTCTCTTGAAGCAAACTTCATGGCATTAAGAGCTGTACATTCTCGACGGATTAAGTTACAGTTGTAATAAAGGTAATTTATCTCCACAATGATCAAACATATGTTGTACACCGAGATCAAGAAGATGCAATAGACAATTGAAAGCCACACACCATGATTTCTATTACAAAGAAAACAGTGGTTAAAGAAAAAAGGAATTATAATGCTCAACTGTTATAAAAAGGTGCCAAGATTTTCGCCCGCCGGGATTCTTTGAAAGAAAACTTTTAAATGAAAAATTAAGCTGGCGGCAGACGTCGTTGAAAAAATTTCCTACCGCGCACAATAGCTGTACTTGTCTGCATTTTAACCAGAGATGATTAGATGCTAGATGAAAACTTCGCAAATTAGTTGAATCTTGAATCATGTACAAGTTAACTTGATGCTGTCCTTAAATGCAACCTCAAAAGTAAATCCCTGCGTGATTGACTGTTTGAAACTTCATGGGGTGTTATAATTGGAGCAATTGAAACGAAACCTAAAGCCTCACACAGGAATACAAGTTGCAGTCTTTTATGGCCAGTAAGGTCAATCAACGGCTGAATGCATGATAAAAACTGATGAATCTGTACGAAGCTTAATTCCACATTTTCGAGCACTTAAAATGGAGCTCTGAGCAGACTTGCGCAAAGGTAGAAGGTTTTTTTATTAAATTAGAGTTATTTCTTATGACTTTTACGAAGCAAGAAGCAATGGTACTTAAGTAAACCGATTTACGCTTATATTAGGGTTGTAATGAAAAGTAAGTTTAGGAGAGTCTGTTTATGAAATTAAAACTTTGCGTCATCATCTGATTAGCAAATTATTACATTTTGACGTGCTTCCGATTTGTTATAGATCAAAGGTGTCGTCAAAATGTGCTCGCGGCACACGAGGCGCAGCCGGGTGTATAACTGATGTTCTTACCACATTTTGACATATTATATGATCTTTAACTGTAAATCCACGTCAACATGTAATCTGTTTGTTTTAGATGATAAAAAGGCAAAATTGTGTGGATGACGACGTAAACTACACGTCTATCCTCCAGTAGATCTTTGGCAAGAGCCAAACAAAATGGGTGAACAGTTAAGTGTAACTCAATATGATACTATAAACATAGCAAACCTGATGGCGCTGAGATCTGTTAGTTCTTCAACCGACACAGCTGAAGTTGTGATGAAAGCCAGGTGATTTATCTCCACCACACTGAAACACATGTTATACAGTGAGTACAAGAATCCGTAATAGACGGTGGGAAGCCAAGTTTGATGACTTCCACTACAGAGAATGCAACGGTTGACGCAGAGAGGAACCACGATGCCCATAAAAACCGTTGCCATGAGATGCCAAGATTTTCGCATTCCAATTTTCTGTGAAAGAACGGGTACTTTAACCATATCGCCGAGGTAACCAGAGATTACCGAAGTCAACGAGTCGACAATTTGTCCAATGAGTATTATAAGTCCAGTGTCTGCAGCTGAAAGTTCCACTACCTCCATGAAAAATAGGAGACAAAATAAAAACATGCACCTGCAGAGGTCATTGAATATACTTCCCGCTGCACACAATAACATTTCTCTTGTACGCATTGTAAAATCGAGTCTCCTTGGTCTGGACACGCCACTCTCTCTCTCTCCCTCACTTAAGAGTGCTTCGATTCTACGGGAAGCCCATTTCTTCCACTTTTATATGGGTGTGTGACAAAGGGTCAGTATAATTGCCAAGAAAAACTGATGATTGATGATAAGTAGACTAATTATTGAAATTTCCATGATTGAAAGGACTTTGATTGAGAAACATTGATGGAAATTCGACTCGAAAGTCACGTTCAAGGCCACCTCCCATGACCTACATTTGGCGGATTATTAAGTACTGCTTTTAAAACGTTGACATTGGAAATGAGTTAACCATCTCTTTGGAAGAAGAAATATGAACTGAATAACCTCCTTCGGACTGTCATCGTTACTTGGATATCCAAGTCACATGTTTATATAGTCAGTGAACTGACCCTACGTAATTGGAAGTGCCAAACTAAAATGGTCACCATAACTACAAGCTGAAACGCGACTGATTTTGGCTTGTTTTGAGTCATTGATCCAAATTAGAATAATTTAGAGTTGTGGATTGCAAAAGCAATTATTTGTAGTAAAATGCAGTTCCAAACCATCTGTTCACTTTCAACTTTCTTTCATATGCAGGCAATTTAATCTTAAGGAAGTAATTGCACTATGTCTTTCTTGAAAGACAATTGTTAGACAATGTAGTTCTGTTCGAGCAACCATTGTTTGTGTCCATCAGTAAAGATACTACCGTCTCAGAACTCAAACATCCCGTAACCATTCACTTAACTTTACCATAACCTTGTGTATGGTTTATCCAACAAAACCCACGCATATTATATTTCTGGAAAGAAATTATAGTTTTGTGTCCTTAGAAAAAGAATGAACTGCAGCGACGGAAGAGTTTTGATTTGCATCTAACCACAACTTTGGCGTTCCTTTGTTTCGGAGAGAGGCTGAGGAAATGAAACATCAACGATAATTGATCTGCTTGAGTCTCAACATCCTGTGTGTCTCCACAGGAGAAATGGCACTCGTAAAGGTTATACATTGGAGGGCATACACCAAACTTACTTTCAAAAGCAGAGTAATTAGAACAAAAAGCGGAGAAAGTTTTTGCGTGGGTATACGGTATCTTGCGTAAAAGAATAAATTTTTGTGACCATTCGCTTGGAGAGGAGTCTGTGTATATTCAAATGTCATTGCTTAGGCATTTTGCAAGTATTTGCCAACAGCCTCGCTTGAGCTAATCGGAATCGAGAGTAGGAAATTGGGTACGTCAGAATATAGAAGATTTTAAAAAGTTGAAAGCTGATAAAAAAATTTTAAGGGTGAACTCGAGCCTATAGGGCACTTTTCTGTGCAAAGTGAACATGAAATTGAATTCATATTTAGAGTTCTTATCAATTCAATAAATTTGCATTGCAGCCATCAATTTATAATTTGCTCTTGTCGCGTGGTTGTTAAGTAACTACACCGACATTAGAAATTTACAGAGCGCTGTTCTATTATGGAAAAAAAAGAAAGGTTCTGGGGAAATTTAGATTGATTATTATGTTTTAGTGTTTATTTTGCATTGGCTAGGAAATGCATGCGATTTAGAGAAAAGAAATGGTGCGATTCGTGACCCCAGTCAGATTGCAGGAATCACCAGGGATTTTCAAAGTGAATATAGTATACGCATTTATTCTGCATACTCTGTCTGCTGGTTCACAATATTTGGACCCTTGAAATACGGTTCGAGATCTCTAAGCGAAATAAATCTAGAAATCTCTCTAGAAAAAAGTGAGCCAGGTAAATTGACGTAATAACGAAAGTTCGATTGGAAAGTGTCTTTTCAGTGGCCTGCACTCGAAAAATTGCTAAGGCAAGACAACTTTCCGACCTGTCTATGCGATGTACCAGTGCCGTAACAAATAAGAAATTTTGGAAAGTATATGTATATATTTTTTTTCAGTTATTGAACTATAAGTTTACTGTAAGGTTTGGCAGATTTTCTTTACTTGGGTCACGCATCCTGTCCAGTGCAAACGCATTCATGAACATATTCAGTCTGACAGATTTACTCAGTCAAGTCAATAAGGCTTGGGGGACTAGGCAACTAGTCAATTACGCTCTCTGAAACCCAGTCAGGTATGGTGAATTGGAACAACCAGACACTCCTTGGCTCGTAACTAGCTAGGTCAACAAGTTGGAAAGATCTTGAATTTTTGCGGTGCTTTTAATGTGCACGAACATTAAAAGAGAAAGCAACCCATTTTTCTTGCGACTAAATTTGATACCACTCAACCATAGAATCGAAACGTTTCAACAAAGGAGAAAATAGAAAACCATTGGAGACAAAAGGCCCTGGTTCCTTCATTCGTCCTCAGCCGTACTCTTACTACGCATGTTCAAACTAGCGAGCCTCGAGCTCTGTCAGGTTCGATCATCCGGAAGGAACAAACAAGCACGTACGTTAAGATAATTTGGATTTATTTATGACTGAGTTGATAATGTAAATTGACCACGGTAGAGAGTTTCAAAGCTGACGTTTCAAGTGTTAACCCTTCCTCAGAGAGAATCGCACTCGGCATAACTCTTACTACGTGTGCTCAAATTAGCTAGCTTGAAGCTCTGTCAGGCTCGATCACCTGGAACAAACAAACAAGCACGTATGTTGAGATAATTTGGTTTTATCTACTGAATTGATAATGCAAATTGGCTACGTTAGAGAGTTTCAAAGCTGACTTTTCGAGTGATAGCCCTCCGTCAAAGCGAATGGAAACACCTACCTAAGATTGTCTTATCCTGTTGAAAACTGAGGACGTCCAAATGAAGTATCGCAATGGTTGTCTTTACTTCCGGTTTTATAAGAAACGCACTACCCTTTATTGTAACTCAATCGTAAGGAAGGTCTCTCCAACTGTCATCCAGCCTTCTTCAGAGACAGTCGTCCTTTCAAACAACCCTGAGTATAATTTTCCTGTTTCTCATCAAAACATGCGGAGGTAAAGTCAGTTACATGGGCTGGAGTGTCATTTGACGATAAGCACACGATTTAGGTATCAAATGTTTCAAGGGTCGATGTCAGCATTGTCGGATAGTGACTTTGTTTACTGAACACGTGTTGTCACGCAATTTCACGTGTAAAGTAGCTAATTGAGCGTGACCCTCGTGGTGAACACCAGCTGAATAACAACAAACACCAATACTACCAACCTGTTTTCGTTCGAAGTCTAATGTTTTTATTAAAATAATAACCAAAGAAACTTTTTTACCCTAACGGAAGAAATTGAATTTCAAAACACTTTAACTTAAATGAGGAGAAAGGAACAAGCTGGGTACGATCAGAGGGTGTGAACTGTAATATTTTTTTTACATTTCAGTCTGCAATAGACTTAGTATTTCCACGGTTAACTTTTATTTTTCACTGAAATCTTAAATAAAGACTCGTCAGTTTACATCTCATCTACTTCTTGTTACATTTTTTATGTAAGGAATATGCTGGTCTAGATATTGACTCTGAACAACCTTATTTCGAAGTCTGAACAAGGAGCCTTCCCCACCCCCTTCCCTTCCTTTTAACCCTTCCTACCCTCCTTGTCCTCTTCGCCTCGCCTCATTTTCTCATGTTTGAAAGTTAGTTTCAAGCATAATTAGGACTGCGAACATGATCATACCAGTTATTCAAAATCAAAAATATCATAATACATGTAACTATAATCTATGAAAACTTCTGCTTGCATTGTCCACCATTGATCTAAACGGTTCACATTATTTATTCCGAGATGTGAACAGTTTTCTGAGCGCGAAGTTCGAGGAAAACTTTGAGCTATCAATAGAAATCAAGAAGATCTAAACAATTTTGAACATTGATGGACTCATTTTCAATTAAAATACTATGCTATTCTTATTATTATTATTATACTACACGATAACTATTTATCGAACATTTAGCAAAAGTAGACTCTTGTTCATCTTGGTGCGAAAGGTCTTTACGACTTGTCTGCTTTTATTTTACGGAATTCTACGATCACAAAACTTTCCATGTGCAAGGGTTTTTCCTAAAATCTAAACAAGAACAGACAGAAAACGAACTATACTATCTCTTTCATTTTAACTTGATTTTTGAAAATGAAACAATTAGCAGTCAAATCGTGTAGGCCCAAATCGTGGGCGTATCTGTGCAATGACCTTTTAGAAGGTCGACGGAGCCTCTACACATAATGCAATTTTCAAAGAATTTAAAGTTTTGAGTCCTCAGAACAAGAATCCCCCACCACGATGGAGGTATTGTGAATATCATCCAAGCTGTGGTTTGACGTTACTTTGACTCCCGATGGACGTGGAACATCAAACGACGATTGGCCGTGTAGAGCCTCAATATCTTCTAAAGCTAGAGGAATAAATTGACAGAGGAAGTTTTCCTTGACACAAAGACAACCGCATGTAATACTGGCTAACAAACCTGAAAATCTAAGTATAAAACCGGCAGTACTACATAGACGCAGAACCATCACGAGGTAAATGCATTTTCATAGGCTTGTGTCATTTAATAAGATTACTAATTTCAACAAAGGAACGCTTGATACCATTGCGTCAGAGGGTAGTTCAGAGTATTCGCAGTGATTCTCCATACGTTACGCAAGTTATAGACGTCTAACAGCTTGACACTGTACTTACCTTTACTTTTGCAGATAAAGTTAGATGGCTGGAAAAACAAAACCAGCAAGAATCCCACCAGAGTTAATACTCCAGGCGCCATTACAAACACATGCCGTACGTAGTTGCTAACCGCCCCATTGGAGCTGATTCTAAATTGAATAGAGGAATTGAGGAGTTTACTAAATCGTGCATAATTTTAAAACTGTTGTAACAATTTCAAATTGTCAAGGATGGCCTGGTCAAGCTAGTAAAGACAAACATGTTCAACATACTTTTCGAGTTTGAACAAATCGGCTGGTCATCTAAACGTTTTATATAGCATGTTTCTTGTTCCTTCCAAGGTACACTACAATAAAGATTTGATAGACCAACCTTTCTTCCGGATAAAATTCCTGTATACCAATGATAAGTAGACCGCTTGAGATTCTGGCGATTACAGTGATAATGGAAAACACTGATCCACTGGTTTCCTGACAGGAAATCACCGTATTAACTCATTGATCTCAGATGGGAAATCAACATTGGTACTAACATTTACGTAATTTTTGACTCTTTACCCCTAGGCCTAAGACCAACAGGTCTTTAATTTCTCCTCCCAGTGTCACTGCTGAATCAAACATTTACGTCAAGAGAGAAAATGGTAAATGATCGCCAATCAAAATGAAGGTCTTGATTTTCAGAAAAATTCTTCTTGTTAGTTCTATGGTAAATTTATAGAGAGCACTCTGGAAAATATGCACACTGATCACGGTGTTAATCAAGTTTCGGAACTAGTCCGCGACTGAAACGGTTCTTTTTCAGTACCCTCTGTGACTGGCCTTGAAAACTCGCAACAATCTCCTAACCGATCAGATGTAACTCGGAGTATCCCAAACTTCAGGCGATCGAACTGTATTTACTTTAAATTCCCATCAGCTCCTTGTAAGAGTTTTATTTCGTTCTGACAAAGAGTTGGGATGAGTTTGGATTTTGTTTTGCAACATTCAAAAGAAATTCCACGTCATTTCAATTTCAAAAATGGCTGGTTGGAAATGCACTGTAACTGAACTGATCAGAGTTTGCGACTAAGTCTTTCTTCGAAACCATCAAAACTTGTTTCGAAACACTAACCTTATTTTCCCCTATCAGCTCGGTGATGAAGACCAGTGCCATGACGTACATAATGGACAGACCACTTCCTATCATAACCACTGGTGCATAAGTTGATTGTCTGGTGGAGAAGGTTTGAAAATAGCTCCAAACAGCGCCACCCATCACTAATAAGCTTGCCAGAAGGTAGCTCCGCTATGATGTACATATCAATGAAAGTATGAAAGTTACTAAGACTAATTTAACAAATAAAGTTGTTCTTGGTTTTGTAACAAGCAAGAAACAAAGAAAAGGTCTGAGAATCCTTTGAGGAATCGAACTTCTGACTACCTTTATTGAGAAAAGATGGTTCATTTGTCCATTAAGTTAAATAAAGCCATTGAGATGATCGTTGATTTATTGCCCCTCTCAGCCAATCATTGTCAACGAGTAGATAAGCCGACGTTTGGCGCAATCAATGCATTTCCACTATCACAAAGGTGGAGTGACCAGTTATAAGAAGCTGTTAATATAGGTCTTACCTTACTTCCAATTTTCCCTTTCAGTTTCTTACACGTTGAACTCGCTAGAGAGCCACTGGTTAAGAGGACGAGTGGAAAATAAGCAGTAGCTGCCTGATTCAGAACAAAAGTAGGATGAGATTATTATAATTATGAAAGAGTTTGAAAACAACTGAGCACTTCAGATTGAACTATACCTTGGGAAATGATAATCTCTCTGTGAGGAATAGCGGTAAATAGCTGTATACAGAGTCCTGCGCAAGGCGTGTACATGTAAAGATAATGGCTAACTGAAAATTAAAACACGAGAAAAACATCACAGGGAGTCAACTAAATCAACAAACAAGGATAGTTAGAAACACGAGGATTTACCATGTACACGTTTGGATCTTTTAGCCAGTTTTTGATTCCTTTTGGACGTCTTCCCTCAGATGTAGAACTTGTCGATTGAACAGGGATACCATGAAGATCAGGGTTATCCGCTGAAGTTAACGAATTATTTGTGCCATCGCAACCTTCTATTCTTTCGATTTTTCTGACGTGCCGTTTTGGAAAATCTTGCTTACTTTCATCCAGGATCGTTTTGTTGTCAGGCGTGTGATCGAGATTTAATCCATGTCGTTCTGTTCCGTTCATTGACGGCATTTCCAGAAATCCAGAAGGATCGAAAGTCACAGACTTTTCTTGCTTCTTAATTGATGTACCACAAAGGCTTTCCTTCTTATCCTCATTACCTCCATCATCTTCAAATCCAGAGTTTGAGAGACCAAATTTACAATCATCCGAAAAGAGCACCATTCCATGTTTTCTTTGCTTAAATACGGTACAAAAAGATGTCTTGGGGGCCGCACTGTTGGTCATTTTCCACATATCTTTATCAGTAATGTTTTTGATCTCTTCTTGCCTGGCGTTCCACGACTCTTCATCAGTTGCATGATCATCGTCTATACCGTCCATTTTAACTTGGTTTTCCATGGCACCAAAACATGTTGGTTGTTCGTGCTCTTCGTGTTGTAGTCTCAACAGGATGTCGTCAAAATCAAGCGTTCGTAGACTCTTCTTGCGTTCATTATCAAAATGCTGTACTTCTAGATCAGTTTTCCCGTCGGCAAACATAGCAACAGCAAACTTCTGCAGAAGACTTCGTTTTCTGACACGCACTTCTTGGCTTTTGGTTTCTCCACATCCGTCCATCTCATTTTGATGTTCTCCATATTCAGTTGAAGCCAAAACCATGTTAGTAAACTTAAAAGCAAGACTGGTCCGTCTAGAATCTTGAGCAAAAAAAAAACAAAACAGGCAATTAACGAACGTCTGTTTTTTTCTGTCTCAGGGCTCAACGATAGAACTAAATCATGTCACCTTTAGGAACATGTCTTAACTCTTTGTCGGATCAACTATTAACATTTATTCCCTCAAAATGATCTCAATAATATTTTTATAACACGGGATATCTGGACTTCTTCTCGTTTAGTTTTTGTTCTACTTCTTTTCCCGTTGGAACTTGTAAGTGAAAAATTTGAGTAACCCAAGCTAAGCTAAAGGTTTTACGCTGTGCTGGAAAAAAAGTTATGGTAAAGTTGTCCAAAAAGACGATCCTTAGAAGGCTAGGTTGACGGATGAAATTCTTTGCCCCATCCCAGCCATCTACTTGGCTGGTTCTTCGAAGTAAAACTCGAGCTACTAACGTAGTCGACATTTAGCTTCTTAGCGAAATGCAATCTAGAAATAACTGAAGAGAGCTTGAAGGTTGGATATCCTTTCTGTGACCACTAATCTTAATCTCCAATTGACATGCCCTTCTCAACTAGATATTTTGCTTTAAAGAGGACGTTGTCTAAACATTTCTAGATTGGACCACCTGTATCAAACTTGTGGAATGCCTGCACACAGTCATGGTTAATAGATTCTCAAAAATACCGAGGCAACAATACACTAGATATTAAGAAGCTCCATGCAAAAATAAGACCTATTCCCCTTAAGAAGAAGACGAGTGGCGTTTTCATCTTTGTTTGATGTGGGAGAGGACGTTACATCTGCAATTTTAATAGAAACAGCGACGGCTTTTAAAATAACACACCACAGTACATATCCCTAGACTTACTTGCATTTTCGGGTCCAAACTCTTCAATGAATTTTCCAGGAGCTTTCTGCAAAATAACGGGAAAGTGGCCAGAGTGAATTATGGATTGCTCTAGATAATGTGTAGACCATACCTCTATCCCTCTGGTCACGCAATGTAACTTCAAGACCCGTTCAGATTAATAGATCCTCTTGTAGATAAATCAAATGAAGAACGAAGAAACAATCGCACAAGCGCGCCGCTATTAGCTCCATGGTGTTGTCTGCTTTCCGAACGCAAAAATAAGCTTTTGTATGACCATTATTTGAAAAGGAAATATCTTTTTTGCTTCCTGTCTCACCGTAAGATCCGTTGTGGCGCTTTCTTTACTCTGACATTTTTGAGGTTCCTTTGTACCAATGTGGAAGATGGCACCAAAGAAGAGTCCTGTTCCAGTCGCAATCCACGAGAGGTACTGTTTAGAAGAGAATTAATCAACTAGCATCTTAACCCTTTAACTCCCAGAAATGATTAACTTGTAACCTCTCCCTGTAGTAAACATCCATTCTCCGGCCAACAGCTGATGAGAATAGTCGTACTTATCAGATAGAAGTTTTTATCTTGATCCAACACTAAATTCTGAAAATTAATTTATAAGGAAATGCAAAGCAGCTCCAGGAGAGAATTGACAGTCAGATCTTGAAAGTTGCAAGGTTCGGGACAAAAAAAAATATTTTTAATGCCAGCAGAGATGTGTGGAAAGAGGCTGAAAGGCTGCCAGGCAGCGCAGGGAGAGAAAACCAAATTTCTCCAACCCGTTTTTTAATTGCGCTAATTATTATTTCATTATATTCAGCCTCCGCCTATTTGTCAAAGCATATTGTAACATAGAACTATTAACGCATTTATTTACCACAAAATCTGGAAGGCTCTCAGGTCCCAGAGTATCGCTATTGTCTTGTCCGAAAAGGCCCCAGGCGATCACGTATATGTAAATACCACTTAGGAAGCTGAACATTGTCCTTTTGAACATGAAAAAGAGAAGAATAAGAAAAATTGCTTTTAGATATCGCGTTTATCATTCCTACAAGATAAGTTAGTAAAAAACGGCCTCAGAGTGTCCGTGCTTGAGTTGGGTTATATAAAAGTTATACAAGTAATTTATACAAGTATATTTAAAACAAATACGATTGCCGTCTGAACTATGTGTCTTAAAAAAAGTCTCTTGAAGCAAACTTCATGGCACTAAGAGCTGTACATTCTCGACGGAGTATATTGTGTGGATGAAAACGTAAACTACACGTCTATCCTCCAGTAGATCTTTGGTAAGAGCCAACAAAAATGGGTGAACAGTTAAGTGTAACTCAATATAATACTTTTACAGTTTGACATATTATGTTAACAAGTAATCTGTTTGTTTTAGATGATAAAAAGGCAAAATTGTGCGGATGGCGACGTAAACTATGCGTCTGTCCTCCAGTAGATCTTTGGTAAGAGCCAAACAAAATGGGTGAGCAGTTAAGTTTAATTTAATATAATACTTTTATAAATAGCAAACCTCGTGGCGCTAAGATCTGTTCGTTCCTCAACCGACACAGCTGAAGTTGTGATGAAAGCCAGGTGATTTATCTCCACCACGCTGAAACACATGCTATACAGTGAAAATAAGAAACTGTAATAGACGATGGGAAGCCAAGTTTGATGACTTCCACTACAGAGAATGCAACGGTTGAAGCAGAAAGGAACTACGATTCCCATAAATACCGTTGCCAGGAGATGCCAAGATTTTCGCATTCCAATTTTCTGTGAAAGAACGGGTACTTTAACCATATCACCGAGGTAACCAGAGATTACTGAAGCCAACGAGTCGACAACTTGTCCAATGAGTATTATAAGGCCAGCGTCCGCGGCTGAAAGTTCCATTACCTCCATGAAAAATAAGAGACAAAATGAAAACATACGCTTGCAAAGGTCATTGAATATACTTCCCGCTGCACACAGTAACATTTCTCTTGTACGCATTGTAAAAGCCAGTCTCCTTGGTCTAAACACGCCACCCTCTCTCTCCCTCACTTAAGAATGCTTCGATTTTATCGGAAGCCCATTTCTTCCACTATTATGTAGGTGTGTGACGTTCCCACCTGATAAGGAAATCATGCACCAATCACAGCTCGCTTTTTGTTTTCCAGATTTCCTACCCCAGCCCTCACAATATTTTACTCTGACTAAAACGAATCGAGCTTGAAACGCATTAAGTTAATCTTTTGCGTCATTTGAAAACCTAGATACTATGACTGAGTGCTTCTTTTCTTGGCGGTTTTAATGACTTTTTTAGGATATGTAATGTTTGGTTTCTCCATTGAAAATCACAATAGATCATGAAAGACCACAGAAATTTAATTTGATTTCTGGTGCAATTCGTATCCAAAGAAAATTTTTTGTTCTTATTACACAGACAATAAATTGACCTTCCTTAGAGAAACTCGTTAAACCATAGATTGACGCTAGAACTTGTTTATAGTTTATTATTCTTGACAGTCATCAAGTTGATAAAGATCGAGGTTGATGATAAGTAGACTAATTATTGCAATTTACGTAATTAAAAGGAAGTTGATTGAGTCTCGTTCACCGCCATCTCCCGTGACCAACATTTGGCCGATTATTAAAACACTGACATTGAAAATGAGTTTATTTTCTCTTTGAAAGAAGAAATATGAACTGAAAAATCTCCTTCGACCAAGGAATTATCGTTACTTGAATATCCAAGTAAAATGTTTATATAGCTGACCGAACTGACCCTAAGTAATTGAAAGTGCAGAAGCTAAAATGTTCACCATAATTAAAGGCTCAACCGCGATTGATTTTGGCTGGTTTTGAGCCATTGATACAAATGAGATTGCAAAAGCAATTATTTGAAGTGAACTGCAGTTTCAAACCATTTGTTCACTTTCAACTTTCTTTCATATGCTGGTATTTTAATCTCAAGCAAGTAATTGCACTATTGTTAGACAAGGCAGTTCTATTCGGGCAACCGTTGTCTGAGGTCTCCTTCAGTAAAGATACTGCCGTCTCAGAACTCAGACATCCCGTAACCATTAACGTATCTCTACCATCACCTTGTGTATGGTCTGTGCAACAAAACCCACGCATATTATATTTCTGGAAAGAAATTATAGTTTTGTGTCCTCAGAAAAAGAATGAATCGCAGCGATGGAAGAGTTTTGATTTGCATCTAACCACACCTTTAGCATTGCTTTGTTTCGGAGAGAAGCTGAGAAAGTGGGACATCAAACGATAATTGATCTGCTTGAGCCTCAACATCCTGTGTGTCTCCACAGGAGAAATGGCACACGTAAAGGTTATGCATTGGAAAGCATACAACAATGTATGAAATAACATTCCAAACCTACTTTCAAAAGCAGAGGAATTAGAATAAAAAGCAGAGAAAGTCTTTGCGAGGCTAAACGATATCTTGCGTAAAAGAATAAATTTTTGTGACCATTCGCTTGGAGAGGAGTCTGTATATTCAATCATTCTGCGTAATTATCATTATGCTACACAGACATGTGAATTTAGATATATATCAACGTTGTTACCTTTCGTTTGAAAGCAAACTTTTGACGGTTGGAGAAGCAAAACCAGTAGGAATACAACCAAACAGAATACTTCAGACGCCATTGCTGATACATTTTGCACGTAGTTGCCAACAGCCTCGTTTGAGCTAATTTGAATCGAGAGTAGGAAATTGATACATCAGAATATAGTAGATTTAAAAAAGTTCAAAGCAGTAGAAAAAAAATTGTAAAGGTGAACTCGAGTCAAGAGGGCATTTTTCTGTGCAAAGTGAACATAAAATCCAATTCATTTTTCGAGTCTTCATAAATTCAATAAATTTGCATCGTAGCCATCAATTCTTAATTTGAGTAATGGCGAAACTAAAAGAGACTCTTGTTGCGCGGTTGTTACGTAACTACACCAACATTAGAAATTTACAGAGTACTGTTCTATTATGGAAAAAAAGAAAGGTTCAGGGGAAGTTTCGATTGATTATTTTGTTTCAGTGTTTACTTTGCATTATCTAGGAAATGGATGTGATTCAGAGAAAAAAATGGTGTGATTCGTGACCCCAGTCAGACTGCAGGAATCATCAGGGATTTTCGTGAATGTAATATGCGCATTTATTCTGCATACTCTGTCTGCTGGTTGACAATATTTGGACCCTTCAAATACGGTTCGAGATCTTCAAGCGAAATCACTCTAGAAATCTCTCTAGAAAAAAGAGCGCCATGTAAATTGACCGTTAAAACGAAAGCTCGTTTGGAAAGTGTCTTTTCAGTGGCCTGCACTCGAAAGATTGCTTAGGCAAGACAACTTTCCGAGCTATCTGTGAAATATACCAGTGTTATAACAAATAAGAAATGTCGGAAAGTATGTTTGTGTCCAGTAATTGAGCTATAAGTTTACTGTAAGTTTTAGCCGATTTTCTTTCCTTGGGTCACGTATCCTGTCCTGTGTAAACGCATTCATGAACATATTCAGTCAGACAGATTAATTCAATCAAGTCAATTAGGCTTGAGGAATTGGGCAACTAGGCAATTAGGCTCTCTGAAACCCAGTCAGGTATGGTGAATTGGAACAACCAGACACTTCTTAGCTGGGAAGGTCAACAAGTTGGAAAGTTCTTGAATTTTTGCGGTGTTTTTAATGTCTACGTACATTAAAAGAGAAAGCAACCCATTTTTCTTGCGCCTAATTTTGATACCACTCAGCCATAGAATCGAAACGTTTCAACAGAGGAAAAAAGTGGAAAACCATCGGAGATAAAAGGCCCAGACTCTCTCATTCGCACTTGGCCGCACTCTTACTACGCATGTTCAAACTAGCTAGCTTGAAGCTCTGTCGGGTTCGATCACCTGGAACAAACAAAGAAGCACGTATGTTACGATAATTTGCTTTTATCTATAACTGAGTTGATAATGTAAACTGGCCACATTAGAGAGTTTCAAAGCTGACGTTTCGAGTGTTAACCCTTCGTCAAAGCGAATCGTACTCTGCCGTACTCTTACTACGCATGTTCAAATCAGCTACCTTGAAGCTCTCTCAGGTTCGTTCACCTGGAACAAACAAACACATATTTTCACATATATTACTTGCTTTTATTTATAACTGAGTTGCTAATGTAAATTGGCCACGTTAGAGAGTTTCAAAGCTGACCTTTCAAGTGTTAGCCCTTCTTTAGAGCGAATGGAAACACGTATCTAAGAATGTGTTATCCTGTTGAAAACTAAGGACTTACCAAATGAAGTATCGCAATGATTGTGTTTGTTTTTAGTGTTATAAGGAACGCACTACACTTAATTGTCAGGAGGGTCTCTTCAGCTACCTTTCAGCCTTCTTCATAGGCAGTCGTCCTTTTAAAGATCCTTGAATATAATTTTCCTGTTTATCATCAAAACATGCGGAGGTAGAGTAAGTTAAATGGGCTTGAGTGTTATTTCACGATAAGCAAACAATTTAGGTATCAAATGTTTCAATGGTCGATGTCAGCATTGTTGGATAGTTACTTTTTGTTCACTGAACGCACGTTGCCAAGCAATTTCACGTGTAAATTAGCCAATTTAGCGTGACCCTTTTGGTGAACACCAGCTGAATAATAACCAACACCAATAGTAACAACCTGTCTTCGTTCGAAGTCTGATGTTTCAATTAAAAAACTGACCAAATAAACTTTTTACCCTAACGCAAGAAATTGAATTTCAAACACTTTAACCACTAATAAGGAGAGAGGAACAAGCTGGGTACGATCAGAGGTTGTTAACTGTAACATTTTTTCTTACTTTTCAGTCTGCAATGGACTTAGTATTTCTACGGTTAACTTTTACTTTTCACTTAAATCTTAGTTAAGGACAGTTTATTTTTCCATCTTATTCTTGTTACACTTTTCAGGTAAAGAATACGCTGGTCTAGATATTGACTCTAAACAACCTTATTTAGGAGCCTGAACAAGGAGCCTTCCTCTCTCTTCCATTCACCCTCCCTGTCCTCCCTCCTCCCCCTACCCTCCCGGCCCTCCCGGCCCTCCCTACCCTCCCTGCCCTCCCTGCCCTCCCTGCCCTCCCTGCCCTCCCTGCCCTCCCTTCCCTCCCTACCTTCCCTACCCTCCTGTCCCTCGCCTCATTTTCTCATGGTTGAAAATTAGTTTCAGACATAATTAAGACTGCGAATATGACCACACTAGTTCTTCAAAACCAAGAATGTCGTAATACACGAAGCTATAGTCTATGAAAACTTTTGCTTGTCCGCGATTGATCTACACGGTTCACATTATTTGTTCCGAGATGTGAACAGTTTTCCAAGCAAAATTTGAGCTATCAATAGAAAAGAAGAAAATCTAAAAAATATTGAACATCGATAGACTCATTTTCAATTAAGATAATACACTATTATTATTACTAAACATACCAGATCACTATTTATCTAAAATTTAGGATAAGCGGACTCTTGTTCATCTCGGTGCGAGAAGTTATTACGACTTATCTCCTTTTATTTTACGGTATTCTACGATCGCAAAACTTTTCATGAGAAAGAGTTTTTCCTAAAATCTAAACAAGAACAGATGGAAATGAACTTTACAATCTCTTAAAATGAAACAATCATGAGTCGTATAGGCCGAAACCGTGGGCGTGTCTGTGCAATGACCTTTTAGTAGGTCGACAGAACCTCTACACATAATGCAATTTTCAAAGAATTCAAAGTTTTGAGTCCTCAGAACAAGAATCCACCACAACGATGGAGGTATTGTGACTATCATCCAAGTTGTGGTTTGACGTTGCTATGACTCCCGATGGACATTGCTTAACTTGAACATCAAACGACGATTGGCCTTGTAGGGCCTCAACATCTTCTGAAACTAGAAGAAAAAATTGACAGAAGAAGTTTTCGTTGACAAAAAAGACAACCACGTGTAATACTGACTAACAAACCTGAAGCTCTAAGTTTAACACCGTCTTATTAACTGAGCCTGGCACTACTACATAGACGCACACCCACCACGAGGTAAATGCATTTACACAGGCTTGTATTTTTTGGTAAGATTACTAGTTTACACAAAAGAACGCTTAACACCATTGCGTCCGAGGGTAATTCAGAGTATTTGCAGTTATTCTCCATACGTTACCCAAGTTATAGACGTCTAACAGCTTGACAATGTACTTACCTTTACTTTTGCAGATAAAGTTGGATTGTTGGAAAAACAAGACCAGCAAGAATCCCACCAGAGTTAATACTCCAGGCGCCATTACAAACACATGCCGTAAGTAGTTGCTAACCGCCTCATTTGAGCTGGTTCTAAATTGAATAGAGGAATTGAGGAGTTTACTAAATCGTGCATAATTTTAAAACAGTCATTACTATTTCAAATAGTCAAGGATGGCCTCGTCAAGCTGGTAAAGACAAACCTGCTGAATATACGTTTCGAGTTTTAACAAATCGGCTGGTCATCTAAACGCTTTAAATACCATGTTTCTTGTTCCTTCTAGGGTAAATTACAATAAAGATTTGATAGGCCAACCTTTCTTCTGGATAAAATTCCTGTATACCAATGATAAGTACACCGCTTGAGATTCTGGCGAGTACAATGATAATGGAAAACACCGATCCACTGGTTTCCTGACAGGAAATCACCGTATTAAATCATTGATCTCATATGGGAAACCAACATTAGTACTATTATTAACATAATTTTTAACTCCTTACCCCTAAGACCAACAGGTCTTTAGTTTCTCCTCACACTGTCACTACTGAATCAAACATGTACGTCAAGAGAGAAAAAGGCAAATGATGGCCAATCAAAATAAAGGTCTTGATCGTTAGAAAAGTTCTCCTTATTAGTATCATGGTAAATTTATAGAGAGCACTATAAAAAATATGCACACTGATCATGGTTTTAATCAAGTTTCGAAACTAGTCTGCGAATGAAACGGTTCTTTTTCATTACCCTCTGTAATTGGCCTTAAAAACTTGCAACAATCTCTCAACCGATTAGATGTAACTTAAAATTTCCCAAACCTCAGGCAGTCTAACTGTATTTCACTTTAAATTCTCAGTAGCTGCTTGTGAGATTTTATTTCGTTCTGACAGAGTTGTGATTAGTTTGAAATTTTTTTTTGCGACATTCAAAAGAACTTTCATGCCATTTCAATTTCAAAAATGTTAGAAATGTACTGTAACTGAACTGATCAGATTTTGCGACTTATCCTTTCCTCGAAACCATTCAAACTTGTTTCAAAACACTAACCTTATTTTCCCCGATCACCTCGGTGATGAAGACCAGTGCCATGACGTACATAATGGACAGACCACTTCCCATCATAACCACTGGTGCATAAGTTGATTGTCTGGTGGAGAAGGTTTGAAAATAGCTCCAAACAGCGCCACCCATCACTAATAAGCTTGCCAGAAGGTAGCTCCGCTATGATATGCATATCAACGAAAGCGTGAAAGTTACTAAGACTAATTAAACAAATAAATTTGTTCTGGGTTCTGTAATAAGCAAGACGCAAAGAAAATATCTGAGAATCATTTCAGGAATCGAACATTTGTCCATTAAGTTAAATAAAGCCATTGAGATGATCGTTGATTTATTGCCTGCCCCTCTCAGTCAATCATTATCATCAACAAGTAGATAAGCCGACGTTTGGTGCAATCAATGAATCTCCCCTATCACAAAAGTGAAGTGACCAGCTAGAAGAACCTGTTAATTTAGGTCTTACCTTACTTCCAATTTTCCTTTTCAGTTTCTTACACATTGAACTTGCTAGAGAGCCACTGGTTAGGAGGACGAGTGGAAAATAAGCGGTAGCTGCCTGATTCAGGGCAAAAATACGATGAGATTAATATAATTATCAATAAGTTTAAAAACAACTGAGCACTTCAAATTGAACTATACCTTAGGGAATGATAATCTCTCTGTGAGGAATAGCGGTAAATATCTGTTTACAGAGTCCTGCGTAAGGCGTGTACATGTAAAGATAATGGCTACCTGAAAATTAAAACACGAGAAAAACATCACAGAGAGTCAACGTAATCAACAAACAAGGATACTTGGAAACACGAGGGTTTACCATGTACACGTTTGGATCTTTTAGCCAGTGTTTGATTCCTTTTGGACGTCTTCCCTCAGATGTAGAACTTGTCGATTGAACAGGGATACCATGAAGATCAGGGTTATCCGCTGAAGTTAACGAATTATTTGTGCCATCGCAACCTTCTATTCTTTCGATTTTTCTGAAGTGCTGTTTTGGAAAATCTTGCGTACTTTCATCCAGAATCGTTTTGTTGTCAGACGTGTGATCGAGATTTAATCCATGTCGTTCTGTTCCGTTCATTGAAGGCATTTCCAGAAATCCAGAAGGATCGAAAGTCACAGACTTTCTTTGCTTCCTGACTGATGTACCGCAAAGGCTTTCCTTCTTATCATCATCACCTCCATCATCTTCAAATCCAGAGTTAGAGAGACCAAATTTACAATCATCTGGGAAAAGCACCATTCCATATTTTCTTTGCCTAAATACGGTACAAAAAGATGTCTTGGGGGCCGCGCTGTTGGTCATTTTCCACATATCTTTATCAGTAGTGTTTTTGATCTCTTCTTGCCTGGCGTTCCACAACTCTTCATCAGTTGCATGATCATCGTCTATACCGTCCATTGTAACTTGGTTTTCCATGGCACTAACACATGTTGGATGTTTGTGCTCTTCGTGTTGTAGTCTCAATAGGATGTCGTCAAAATCAAGCGTTCGTAGACTCTTCTTGCGTTCACTATCAAGATGCTGTACTTCTAGATCAGTTTTCCCGTCGGCAAACATAGCAACAGCAAACTTCTGCAGAAGACTTCGTTTTCTGACACGCACCTCTTGGCTTTTGGTTTCTCCACATCCGTTCATCTCACTTTGATATTCTTCATATTCAGTTGAAGCCAAAACCATGTCAGTAAACTTAAAAGCAAGGCTGGTCCGTCTAGAATCTTGAGAAAAAAACAAAACAAGCAATTAACGAACGTCTAATCTTCTAATCACTAATCTTAATCTCCAATTGACATGCACTTCTGAACTAGATATTTTGCCTTAAAGAGGAGGTTGTCTAAACATTTCAAGCAAAATTGGTGCTGTCTCTAGATAGGACCACCTGTATCAAACTTGTGGCATGTCTGCACACAGTCATGGCTAATAGATTCTCATAAATATCGAGACAACAATACCTTAGATATTAAGGAGCTCCATGCAAAAATAAGACCTATCCCCTTGAGATAAAGACGAGTAGTGTTTTTCTTTTTTTGTACTTCAGTTTGATGTCGGAGAGGACGTTACATCTGCAATTTTAATCGAAACAACGACGGCTTTTAAAATAATACACCAAAGCACATATCCATAGACTTACTTGCATTTTCGGGTCCAAACTCTTCAATGAATTTTCCAGGAGCTTTCTGCAAAATAACGGGAAAGTGGCCAGAGTGAATTACGGATTGCTTTAAATAATGTGTAGACCATACCTCTATCCCTCTGGTCACGCTATGTAACTTCAAGACCCGTTCAGATTAATAGACCTCTTGTAGATAAATCAAATGAAGAACGAAGAAACAATCGCGCAAGCGCGCCTCTATTAGTTCCATGATGTTGTCTGTTCTCCTAACACAAAAATAAGCTTTTACATGACCTTTATTTGAAAAGGAAATATCTTTTTTGCTTCCTGTCTTACCGTAAGATCCGTTGTGGCGCTTTCTTTACTCTGACATTTTTGAGGTTCATTTGTACCAATGTGGAAGATGGCAGCAAAGAAGAGTCCCGTTCCAGTCGCAATCCACGAGAGGTACTGTTTAGAAAAGAATTAATCAACTAGGATTTTAACCCTTTAACTCCCAGAAATGATTAACTTGTAACCTCTCCTTGTAGTAAACATACATTCTCCAGCTGATGAGAAAACTCATACTTATCAGAAAGAAGTTTTTATCTTGATCTAACACTAAATTCTGAAAATTAATTCACAAGGAAATGCAAAGCAGCTCCAGGAGAGAATTGACAGTCAGCTCTTGAAAGTTGCAAGATTAAGGACAAAAAAAAGATTTTTAATGCCTGCAGAGATGTGTGGAAGGAGGCTAAAAGGCTGACAGGCAGTGCAGGGAGAGAAAACCAAATTTCTCCAACCCGTTTTTTAATCGCGTTATTTTTCTTTTTTTAATTTCATTGTATTGAGCCTCCGCCTGTTTGTCAAAGCATATCATAGAATAGAACTATCAACGAAGCTGTTGCTTACCACAAAATCTACAAGGCTCTGAGGTCCCAGAGTATCGCTATCGTCTTGTCCGAAAAGGCCCCAGGCGATCACGTATATGTAAATACCACTAAGGAAGCTGAACATTGTCCTTTTGAACAAGAAAAAGAGAAGAATAAGGAAAATTGTTCTTAGATGTCACGTTTATCATTTCTACAGGATAAGTTAGGAAAAAACGGCCTCAGAGTGTCCGTGCTTCAGCTGAGTTATATAAAAGCAATAGAAGTGATTTATACAAGTATATTTGAAATAAATACGATTGCCGTATGAACTATATTTTTTAAAAAAAGTCTCTTGAAACAAACCTCATGGCACTAATGTACATTCTCGACGGATTCAGTTACAGTTGTAATAAAGATAATTTATCTCAACAGTGCTCAAACAAATGTTGTACACCGAGATCAAGAAGATGTACTAGACAATTGGAAGCCACTCACTATGATTTCTATTACAAAAAAAAAAAGGTGAAAGAAAAAAGGAATGATAATTCTCATTAAAACTATTATCAAAAGGTGCCAAGATTTTCGCTCGCCGGGATTCTTTGAAAGAAAAAATTTAACTAAAAAATTAAGCTGCCGGCAGACGTCTTTGAATAAATTTCCTACCGCGCACAATAGCTGTTCTCTTGTCTGCATTTTAACCAGAAAGTACGCGCAACCAGTCTATATGAAAACTTCGCAAATTAGTTGGATAAAGATTCAACATAATTATCTTGAATCACGTACAAGTTAACTTGATGCTGTGCTTAATTAAATGCAACCTCAAAAGTAAATCCCTGCGTAATTGACCAATTGAAACTTCATAGGGTCTTAGAATTGAAGCAATTGACACGAAACCGGAAGCCTCACATAGGAATACAAGTTGCAGTCCAGTATGGCCAGTAACGTCAATCAACGGCTGAATGTATGATAAAAACTGATGAATCTGTACGAAACTTAATTTCACATGTGTGTGAGCAATTAAAATGGAGGTCTGAGCAGACTTACGCATAGCTAGAAGGTTTTTCATCAAATTATTGTTATTTCTTATGACTTTTACGAAGCAAGAGGCAATGGTACTTAAGTCAACCGATTTACGCTTACGTTAGCGTTGCAATGAAAAGTAACTTCAGGAGAGACTGATTACGAAATAAAAACTTTGCGTCATCATCTGATTAGCAAAATTATCACATAATATCGCGCTTCCGTTATATTATAGATCAAAGGTGCCGTCAAAATGTGCCTGCGGCACTCGCGGCGCAGCCGGGTGTATAATTGATGTTCTTACCACATTTTGACATATTATGTGATCTTGAACTATAAATCCATGTCAACGTGTAATCTGTTTGTTTTAGGTAATAAAAACGCAAAATTGTGCGGATGGCGACCTAAACTATGCGTCTGTCCTCCAGTAGATCTTTGGTAAGAGCCAAAAAAGATAGGTGAACGGTTTACTTTAATTTAATATCATACTTTTCAAAATAGCAAACCTGATGGCGCTAAGATCTGTTAGTTCTTCAACCGACACAGCTGAAGTTGTGATGAAAGCCAGGTGATTTATCTCCACCACGCTGAAACACATGTTATACAGTGAGTACAAGAAACAGTAAGAGACGGTGGGAAGCCAAGTTTGATGACTTCCACTACAGAGAATGCAACGGTTGACGCAGAGAGGAACTACGATTCCCATAAATACCGTTGCCACAAGATGCCAAGATTTTCGCATTCCAATTTTCCGTGAAAGAACGGGTACTTTAACCATATCGCCGAGGTAACCAGAGATTACTGAAGTCAACCCGTCTACAATTTGTCCAGTGAGTATAATAAGTCCAGTGTCTGCAGCTGAAAGTTCCACTACCTCCATGAAAAACAGAAGAGAAAATGAAAACATCGACTTGCAAAGGTCATTGAATATACTTCCCGCTGCACACAGTAACATTTCTCTTGTACGCATTGTAAAATCGAGTCTCCTTGGTCTGGACACGCACACTCTCTCTCTCTCCCTCACTTAAGAATGCTTCGATTCTACGGGAAGCCCATTTCTTCCACTTTTATATGGGTGTGTGACTAAGGGTCAGTATAACTGCCAAGAAAAACTGATGATTGATGATAAGTAGACTAATTATTGAAATTTCCATGATTGAAAGGAAGTTGATTGAGAAACATTGATGGAAATTCGACTAAGTCTCGTTCCAGGCCACCTCCCATGACCTACATCTGGCCGATTATTAAGTAGTGCTTTTAAAACATTGAGATTGGAAATGAGTCTACCATCTCTTTGGAAGAAGAAATATGAACTGAATAACCTCCTTCGAACAAGGAGTCATCGTTACTTAGATATCCAAGTAACATGTTTATATAGTCGGTGAACTGACTAAAATGGTCACCATAACTACAGGCTGAAACGCGATACTTCCCACTGCACACAGTAACATGTCTCTTGTACGCATCGTAAAAACGAGTCTCCTTGATCTGAACACGCCACTCTCTCTCTTCCCCAATTATGAATGCTTCGATTTTATGGGGAGCTTGTTTCTTCCACATTTATATGGGAGTGTAACCTTCCCACTTGACAAGGAAATCATGCACCAATCACAGCTTACTTTTTCTCTTCCAGATAGCCAATCATATCAACATAGTCTTAGTGAGGTTTCCTACCCCAGCCCTCACTCGAAACGCATTAAGCTAATCTTTTGCGTCGTTTGAAAACTTGTAGATACTATAAATGAGTGCTATTTTTCTTTGCAGTTTTCTTGACTCTTTTAAGATAGATAATATTTGGTTTCTCCATTGAAAATCATAGTAGATTGTGAAAGACCACAAACATTTACTTTGATGTCTGGTGCAATTTGTATCCCCAGTAAATTTTTGTTCATATTACACACACAATAAATTGATCTTGCCTAGAGGAATTCGCTAAACCATAGATTGACCCTAGAACTTGGCTATAGCTTATTATTCTTGGCTATAGCTTAATACTCGGGAGAGTCATCAAATTGAAAAAGATCAAGGTTGATGATAAGTAGACTACTTATTGCAATTTCCATAATTAAAAGGAAGTTGATTGAGAAACATTAATGCATAAACATAAAATTCGACTAAGTTTCGTTCACCGCCACCTCCCATGACCAACATTTGGCCGATTATTAAGTAGTGCTTTTAAAACATTGACATTGGAAATGAGTTTACCATCTCTTTGGAAGAAGAAATATGAACTGAATAACCTCCCTCGAACAAGGAATCATCGTTACTTGGATATCCAAGTAGCATGTTTATATGGCCAATGAACCGACCCTACGTAATTGAAAGTGCAGAAACTAAAACGTTCGCCATAATTACAGGCTCAAACGCGACTGATTTTGGCTTGTTTTGAGTCATTGATCCAAATTAGAATAATTTAGAGTTGTGGATTGCAAAAGCAATTATTTGAAGTGAAATGCAGTTTCAAACCATCTGTTCACTTTCAACTTTCTTTCATATGCTGGCAATTTAATCTCAAGCAAGTAATTGCAGTATGTCCTTCTTGAAAGACAATTGTTAGACAAGGTAGTTCTATTCGAGCAACCATTGTCTGAGGTCTCCATCAGTAAAAATACTGCCGTCTCAGAACTCAAACATCCCGTAACCATCAACGTAACTGTACCATAACCTTGTGTATGGTTTATGCCACAAAACCCACGCATATTATATTTCTGAAAAGAAATTATTAGAATAGTTTTTTGTCATCAGAAAAAGGATGTTCCGCAGCGACGGAAGAGTTTTGGTTTGCACCTAATCACACCTTTAGCGTTGCTTTGTGTCGGAGAGAAGCTGAGTAAGTGCAACATCAAACAATAGTTGATCTGCTTGAGGCTAAACATCCTGTTTGTCTCCACAGGAGAAATGGCACTCATAAAGGTTATACATTGGAAGGCATACAACAATATATGAAATAACACTCCAAACCTACTTTCAAAAGCATAGGAAATAGAACGAAAAGCAGAGAAAGTCTTTGCGTGGGTATACGGTATCTTGCGTAAAAGAATAAATTTTTGTGACCATTCGCTTGGAGAGGAGTCTGTGTATACACAGTCATTCTGCGTAATTACCATTATGCTACACAGGCATGTGAATTTAGAAATAAATCAACGTTTTTATCTTTCGTTTGGAAGCAAACTTTTGACGGTTGAAGAAGCAAAACCAGTAGGAATACCACAAAACAGAATACTTCAGACGCCATTGCTGACACATTTTGCACGTTGTTGCCAACAACCTCGTTTGAGCTAATTTGAATCGAGAGTAGGGAATTGGGTACATCAGAATATGGTAGATTTAAAAAGGTTTAAAGCAAAAGAAAAAAATTGTAAAGGTAAACTCGAGCCAAGAGGGCATTTTTCTGTGCAAAGTGAACATGAAATTGAATTCATATTTCGAGTCCTCAAAAATTCAATAAATTTGCATCGTACCTTCAATTTTTAATTTGAGTAATGGCCAAACTAAAAGAGACTCTTGCCGGGCGGTCATTACATAACTACACCGAAATTAGAAATTTACAGAGTGCTGTTCTATTATGGAAAAAAAAGAAAGGTTCTGGGAAAATTTAGATTGATTTTCAGTTTTGTTTTAGTGTTTATTTTGCATTGGCTAGGAAATGGATGCGATTTAGAGAAAAGAAAAATGGTGCGATTCGCGACCCCAGTCAGATTGCAGGAATCAGCAGGGATTTTCGAAGTGAATGTAATGTGCGCATTTATTCTGCATACTCTGTCTGCTGGTTCACAATACTTGGACCCTTGAAATACGGTTCGAGGTCTCTAAGCAAAATCTTTCTAGAAATCTCTTTAGAAAAAAGAGCGCTATGTAAATTGACGGTAAAAACGAAAGCTCGATTGGAAAATGTCTTTTCAGTGGCCTGCGCTCGAAAAATAGCTAAGGCAAGACAAATTTCCGAGCTATCTTTGCGATGTACCAGTGTTGTAACAAATAAGAAATGTCGGAAAGTATATGTTTGTTTTCAGTAATTGAGCTGTAAGTTAAGTTTTCTTTCCTTGGGTCACGTATCCTGTCCTGTGTAAACGCATTCATGAATACATTCAGTCAGACAGATTTACTCAATCAAGTCAATAAGGCTCTCCGAAACCCAGTCAGGTATGGTGAATTGGAACAACCAGACACTCCTTTGGCTCATAGCTAGCAAGGTCAACAAGCTGGAAAATTTTTGCGTTGCTCTTAATGTCCACGTACATTAAGAGAAAGCAACCCATTTTTCTTGCGACTAATTTTGATACCACACAACCATAGAATCGAAACGTTTCAACAAAGGAAAAGAATGGAAAACCATTGGAGACAAAAGGCCCTGATTCCCTCTTTCGTCCTTGGCCGTACTCTTTCTACGCATGCTCAAACTAGCTAGCTTGAAGCTCTGTCAGGTTCGATCACCTGGAACAAACAAACAAGCACGTACGTTAAGATAATTTGGAATTATTTATAACTGAGTTGATAATGTAGATTGGCCACGTTAGAGAGTTTCAAAGCTGACGTTTCGAGTGTCAGCCCTCCGTCAGAGCGAATGGAAACACTTATCTAACATTGCCTTATCCTGTTGAAAACTGAGGACGTCCAAATGAAGTATCACAATGATTGTCTTTTTTTTCAGTGTTATAAGGAACGCACTACCCTTAATTGTAACTCAATTGTAAGAAAGGTATCTCCAGCTGCCATCCAGCCTTTCTCATAGACAGTCGTCCTTTTAAACATCACTGAGTATAGTTTTCCTGTTTATCATCAAAACATGCGGAGGTAGAGTAAGTTACATGGGCTGGAGCGTCATTTCATGATAAGCACACGATTTGGATATCAAATGTGTCAATGCTCGATGTCAGCATTGTTGGATAGTGACTTTGTTTACTGAGCACGTGTTGTCACGCAATTTCACGTGTAAAGTAGCTAATTGAGCGTGACCCTCGTGGTGAACACCAGCTGGATAATGACAAACACCAATACTAGCAACCTGTCTTCGTTCGAAGTCTGATGTTCTTATTAAAATAATAACCAAAGAAACTTCTTACCCTAACGTAAGAAATTGAATTTCAAAGCACTTTAACTAAAATGAGGAGAAAGGAACAAGCTGGGTACGATCAGAGGGTGTGAACTGTAATATTTTTTTTACATTTCAGTCTGCAATAGACTTAGTATTTCCACGGTTAACTTGTATTTTTTACTGAAATCTTAAATAAGGATTCCTCAGTTTACATCTCATGGTCTAGATATTGACTCTGAACAACCTTATTTCGAAGCCTGAACAAGGAGCCTTTCTCCTCCCCCCCCCCTTCCCTTCGTTTTAACCCTTCCTACCCTCCTTGTCCTCCTCGCCTCGCCTCATTTTCTCATGTTGGAAAGTTAGTTTCAAGCATAATTAGGACTGCGAACATTATCATACTAGTTATTCAAAATCAAAAATATCATAATATACATATCATGTAACATGTCCGCCATTGATCTAAACGGTTCACATTATTTATTCCGAGATGTGAACAGTTTTCTGAGCGCGAAGTTCGAGGAAAACTTTGAGCTATCAATAGAAATCAAGAAGATCTAAACAATTTTGAACATCGATAGACTCATTTTCAATTAAAATACTATGCTATTCTTATTATTATTATTAAACTACACGATAACTATTTATCTAAAATTTAGCAAAAGTAGACTCTTGTTCATCTTGGTGCGAGAGGTCTTTACGACTTGCCTGCTTTTATTTTACGGAATTCTACGATCACAAAACTTTTCATGTGAAAGGGTTTTTCCTAAAATCTAAACAAGAACAGACAGAAAACGAACTATACTATCTCTTTGATTTTAACTTGATTGTTGAAAATGAAACAATTAGCAGTCAAATCGTGTAGGCCCAAATCGTGGGTGTATCTGTGCAATGACCTTTTAGTAGGTCGACGGAGCCTCTACACATAATGCAATTTTCAAAGAATTCAAAGTTTGGAGTCCTCAGAACAAGAATCCCCCACCACGATGGAGGTATTGTGACTATCATCCAAGCTGTGGTTTGACGTTGCTTTGACTCCCGATGGACGTGGAACATCAAACGACGATTGGCCGTGTAGAGCCTCAACATCTTCTAAAGCTAGAGGAATAAATTGACAGAGGAAGTTTTCCTTAACAACAAGGAAAACCGCATGTAATACTGACTAACAAACCTGAAGCTCTAAGTATAAAACCGGCAGTACTACATAGACGCACAACCATCATGAGGTAAATGCATTTACACAGGCTTGTGTCATTTAATAAGATTACTAATTTCAACAAAGGAACGCTTGATACCATTGCGTCAGAGGGTAGTTCAGAGTATTTGCAGTGATTCTCCATACGTTACGCAAGTTATAGACGTCTAACAGCTTGACGATGTACTTACCTTTACTTTTGCAGATGAAGTTAGATGGCTGGAAAAACAAAACCAGCAAGAATCCCACCAGAGTTAATACTCCTGGCGCCATTACAAACACATGCCGTACGTAGTTGCTAACCGCTTCATTTGAGCTGGTTCTAAATTGAATAGAGGAATTGAGGAGTTTACTAAATCGTGTATAATTTTAAAACTGTTGTTAAAATTTCAAATTGTCAAGGATGGCCTGGTCAAGCTGGTAAAGACAAACATGTTGAATATACTTTTCGAGTTTTAACAAATCGGCTGGTCATCTAAACGTTTTATATAGCATGTTTCTTGTTCCTTCCAAGGTACATTACGATAAAGATTTGATAGACCAACCTTTCTTCCGGATAAAATTCCTGTATACCAATGATAAGTAGACCGCTTGAGATTCTGGCGATTACAGTGATAATGGAAAACACTGATCCACTGGTTTCCTGACAGGAAATCACCGTATTAACTCATTGATGTCAGAAACCATCTCTGATCTCTGGGAAACCAACATTAGTACTAACATTTACGTAATTTTTAACTATTTACCCCTAAGACCAACAGGTCTTTAATTTCTCCTCCCAGTGTCACTGCTGAATCAAACATTTACGTCAAGAGAGAAAATGGTAAATGATCGCCAATCAAAATGAAGGTCTTGATTTTCAGAAAAATTCTCCTTGTTAGTTTTATGGTAAACTTATAGAGAGCACTCTGGAAAATATGCACACTAATCATGGTGTTAATCAAGTTTCGGAACTAGTCCGCGACTGAAACGGTTCTTTTTCAGTACCCTCTGTGACTGGCCTTGAAAACTCGCAACAATCTCCTAACCGATCAGATGTAACTCGGAGTTTCCCAAACTTCAGGCGATCGAACTGTATTTACTTTAAATTCCCATTAGCTCTTTATAAGAGTTTTACTTCGTTCTGACAAAGAGTTGGGATGAGTTTGGATTTTGTTTTGCAACATTCAAAAGAAATTCTACGTCATTTCAATTTCAAAAATGGCTGGTTGGAAATGCACTGTAACTGAACTGATCAGAGTTTGCGACTAAGTCTTTCTTCGAAACCATTAAAACTTGTTTCGAAACACTAACCTTATTTTCCCTATCAGCTCGGTGATGAAGACCAGTGCCATGACGTACATAATGGACAGACCACTTCCTATCATAACCACTGGTGCATAAGTTGATTGTCTGGTGGAGAAGGTTTTAAAATAGCTCCAAACAGCGCCACCCATCACTAATAAGCTTGCCAGAAGGTAGCTCCACTATGATGTACATATCAATGAAAGAATGAAAGTTACTAAGACTAATTTCACAAATAAAGTTGTTCTTGGTTCTCTAACAAGCAAGAAACAAAGAAAAGGTCTGAGAATCGTTTGAGGAATCGAACTTCTGACTACTTGCTTGAGAAAACATGGTTCATTTGTCCACTAAGTTAAATAAAGCCATTGAGATGATCGTTGATTTATTGCCCCTCTCAGCCAATCATTTTCAACGAGTAGATAAGCAGACGTTTGGCGCAATCAATGCATTTCCACTATCACAAAGGAGGAGTGACCAGCTAGAAGAACCTGTTAATCTAGGTCTTACCTTACTTCCAATTTTCCTTTTCAGTTTTTTACACGTTGAACTCGCTAGAGAGCCACTGGTTAAGAGGACGAGTGGAAAATAAGCGGTAGCTGCCTGATTCAGGACAAAAGTAGGATGAGATTATTATAATTATGAAAGAGTTTGAAAACAACTGAGCACTTCAGATTGAACTATACCTTGGGGAATGATAATCTCTCTGTGAGGAATAGCGGTAAATAGCTGTATACAGAGTCCTGTGCAAGGCGTGTACATGTAAAGATAATGGCTACCTGAAAATTAAAACACGAGAAAAACATCACAGGGAGTCAACTAAATCAACAATCAAGGATAGTTGGAAACACGAGGGTTTACCATGTACACGTTTGGATCTTTTAGCCAGTTTTTGATTCCTTTTGGACGTCTTCCCTCAGATGTAGAACTTGTCAATTGAACAGGGAGACCATGAAGATCAGGGTTATCCGCTGAAGTTAACGAACTATTTGTGCCATCGCAACCTTCTATTCTTTCGATTTTTCTGACGTGCCGTTTTGAAAAATCTTGCGTACTTTCATCCAGAATCGTTTTGTTGTCAGGCGTGTGATCGAGATTTAATCCATGTCGTTCTGTTCCGTTCATTGACGGCATTTCCAGAAATCCAGAAGGATCGAAAGTCACAGACTTTTTTTGCTTCTTAATTGATGTACCGCAAAGGCTTTCCTTCTTATCCTCATCACCTCCATCATCTTCAAATCCAGAGTTAGAGAGACCAAATTTACAATCATCCGGGAAAAGCACCATTCCATGTTTTCTTTGCCTAAATACGGTACAAAAAGATGTCTTGGGGGCCACGCTGTTGGTCATTTTCCACATATCTTTATCAGTAATGTTTTTGATCTCTTCTTGCCTGGCGTTCCACGACTCTTCATCAGTTGCATGATCATCGTCTATACCGTCCATTGTAACTTGATTTTCCATGGCACCAAAAGACGTTGGTTGTTCGTGCTCTTCGTGTTGTAGTCTCAACAGGATGTCGTCAAAATCAAGCGTTCGTAGACTCTTCTTGCGTTCACTATCAAAATGCTGTACTTCTAGATCAGTTTTCCCGTCGGCAAACATAGCAACAGCAAACTTCTGCAGAAGACTTCGTTTTCTGACACGCACTTCGTGGCTTTTGGTTTCTCCACATCCGTCCATCTCATTTTGATGTTCTTCATATTCAGTTGAAGCCATAACCATGTTAGTAAACTTAAAAGCAAGACTGCTCCGTCTAGAATCTTGAGCAAAAAAAAAACAAAACAAGCAATTAACGAACGTCTGTTTTTTCTGTCTCAGGGCTCAACGATAGAACTAAATCATGTCACCTTTAGGAACATGTCTTAACTCTTTGTCGGATCAACTATTAACATTTATTTCCTCAAAATGATCTCCATAATATTTTTATAACACGGGATATCTGGACTTCTTCTCGTTAAGTTTTTGTTCTACTTCTTTTCCCTTTGGAACTTGTAAGTGAAAAATCTGAGTAACCCAAGCTAAGCTAAAGGTTCTGCGCTGCGCTGGAAAAAAAGTTATAGTAAAGTTGTCCAAAAAGACGATCCTTAGAAGGCAAGGTTGACGGATGAAATTCTTTGCCCCATCCTAGCCATCTACTCGGCTGGTTCTTCGAAGTAAAACTCGAGCTACTAACGTAGTCGACATTTAGCTTCTTAGCGGAATGCAGTCTAGAAATAACTGAAGAGAGCTTGAGGGTTGGATATCCTTACTGTGACCACTAATATTAATCTCCAATTGACATGCGCTTCTGAACTAGATATTTTGCTTTAAAGAAGACGTTGTCTTAACATTTCTAGATGGGACCACCTGTATCAAACTTGTGGAATGCCTGCACGTAGTCATGGTTAATAGATTCTCAAAAATACCGAGGCAACAATACACTAGATATCAAGAAGCTCCATGCAAAAATAAGACCTATTCCCCTTAAGATGAGGACGAGTGGCGTTTTCATCTTTGTTTGATGTGGCAGAGGACGTTACATCTGCAATTTTAATAGAAACAACGACGGTTTTTAAAATAATACACCACAGTACATATCCATAGACTTGCATTTTCGGGTCCAAACTCTTCAATGAATTTTCCAGTAGCTTTTTGCAAAATAACGGGAAAGTGGCCAGAGTGAATTATGGGTTGCTATAGATAATGTGTAGACCATACCTCTATCCCTCTGGTCACGCAATGTAACTTCAAGACCCGTTCAGATTAATAGATCCTCTTGTAGATAAATCAAATGAAGAAAGAAGAAACAATCGCACAAGCGCGCCGCTATTAACTCCATGGTGTTGTCTGCTTTCCGAACGCAAAAATAAGCTTTTGTATGACCATTATTTGAAAAGGAAATATCTTTTTTGCTTCCTGTCTCACCGTAAGATCCGTTGTGGTGCTTTCTTTACTCTGACATATTTGAGGTTCCTTTGTACCAATGTGGAAGATGGCTGCAAAGAAGAGTCCTGTTCCAGTCGCAATCCACGAGAGGTGCTGTTTAGAAAAGAATTAATCAACTATCATATTAGTTCTTTAACTCCCAGAAATGATTAACTTGTAACCTCTCCCTGTAGTAAATATCCATTCTCCGGCCAACGGCTGATGAGAATAGTCGTAGTTATCAGATAGAAGTTTTTATCTTGATCCAACACTAAATTCTGAAAATTAATTTATAAGGAAATGCAAAGCAGCTCCAGGAGAGAATTGACAGTCAGATCTTGAAAGTTGCATTTTCGGGACAAAAAAAAAAATTTTTAATGCCAGCAGAGATGTGTGGAAAGAGGCTGAAAGGCTGTCAGGCAGCGCAGGGAGAGAAAACCAAATTTCTCCAACCCGTTTTTTAATTGCGTTAATTATTATTTCATTATATTCAGCCTCCGCCTCTTTGACAAAGCATATTGTAGCATAGAACTATTAACGCATTTATTTACCACAAAATCTGGAAGGCTCTCAGGTCCCAGAGTATCGGTATTGTCTTGTCCGAAAAGGCCCCAGGCGATCATGTATATGTAAATACCACTTAGGAAGCTGAACATTGTCCTTTTGAACATGAAAAAGAGAAGAATAAGAAAAATTGCTTTTAGATATCGCGTTTATCATTCCTACAAGATAAGTTAGTAAAAAACGGCCTCAGAGTGTCCGTGCTTGAGTTGGGTTATATAAAAGTTATACAAGTAATTTATACAAGTATATTTAAAACAAATACGATTGCCGTATGAACTATGTGTCTTAAAAAAAGTCTCTTGAAGCAAACTTCATGGCACTAAGAGCTGTACATTCTCGACGAATTATATTGTGTGGATGACGACGTAAACTACACGTCTATCCTCCAGTAGATCTTTGGTAAGAGCCAAACAAAATGGGTGAACAGTTAAGTGTAACTCAATATAATACTATAAACATAGCAAACCTGATGGCGCTGAGATCTGTTAGTTCTTCAACCGACACAGCTGAAGTTGTGATGAAAGCCAGGTGATTTATCTCCACCACGCTAAAACACATGTTATACAGTGAGTACAAGAAACCGTAATAGACGATTGGAAGCCAAGTTTGATGACTTCCACTACAGAGAATGCAACGGTTGACGTAGAGAGGATCTACGATTCCCATAAATACCGTTGCCAGGAGATGCCAAGATTTTAGCATTCCAATTTTCTGTGAAAGAACGGGTACTTTAACCATATCACCGAGGTAACCAGAGATTACTGAAGTCAAAGCGTCGAAAATTTGTCCAATGAGTATTATAAGTCCAGTGTCCGCAGCTGAAAGTTCCATTACCTCCATGAAAAATAAGAAACAAAATGAAAACATGCGCTTGCAAAGGTCATTGAATATACTTCCCGCTGCACACAGTAACATTTCTCTTGTACGCATTGTAAAAGCGAGTCTCCTTGGTCTAAACACGCCACACTCTCTTTCCCCCGCTTAAACCTGCTTCGATTCTATGGGAAGCCTATTTGTACCACTTTTGTATGGGTGTTTGGGTGTGTGACGTTCCCACTTGATAAGGAAATCATGCACCAATCACAGCTCGCTTTTTGTTTTCCAGATTTCCTAACCCAGCCCTCACAATATTTTACTCCGACCAAAACGAATCAAGCTCGAAACACATTAAGTTAATCTTTTGCGTTATTTGAAAACCTAGATACTGTAACTGAGTGCTTCTTTCCTTGGCGGTTTTAATGACTTTTTTAGGATAGATAATGTTTGGTTTCTCCATTCAAAATCACAGTAGATCGTGAAAGACCACAGAAATTTAATTTGATTTCTGGTGCCATTCGTATCCACAGAAAATTTTTTGTTCTTATAACACACAATAAATTGACCTTCCTTAGAGGAACTCGTTAAACCATAGATTGACGCTAGAACTTGTTTATAGTTTATTATTCTTGACAGTCATCAAGTTGATAAAGATCGAGGTTGATGATAAGTAGACTAATTATTGCAATTTACGTAGTTAAAAGGAAGTTGATTGAGTCTCGTTCACCGCCACCTCCCGTGACCAACATTTGGCCGATTATTAAGTAGTGCTTTTAAAACACTGACATTGAAAATGAGTTTATATTCTCTTTGAAAGAAGAAATATGAACTGAAAAATCTCCTTCGAACAAGGAATTATCGTTAATTGAATATCCAAGTAAAATGTTTATATAGCTGACCGAATTGACCCTAAGTAATTGAAAGTGCAGAAACTAAAATGTTCACCATAATTAAAGGCTCAAACGCGACTTATTTTGGCTGGTTTTGAGCCATTGATACAAATGAGAATAATTTAGAGTTGTTGATTGTAAAAGCAATTATTTGAAGTGAACTGCAGTTTCAAACCATTTGTTCACTTTCAACTTTCTTTCATATGCTGGCATTTTAATCTCAAGCAAGTAATTGCACTATTGTTAGACAAGGCAGTTCTATTCGGGCAACCGTTGTCTGAGGTCTCCTTCAGTAAAGATACTGCCGTCTCAGAACTCAGACATCCCGTAACCATTATCTCTACCATAACCTTGTGTATGGTCTGTGCAACAAAACCCACGCATATTATATTTCTGGAAAGAAATTATAGTTTTGTGTCCTCAGAAAAAGAATGAATCGCAGCGATGGAAGAGTTTTGATTTGCATCTAACCACACCTTTAGCATTCCTTTGTTTCGGAGAGAAGCTGAGAAAGTGGGACATCAAACGATAATTGATCTGCTTGAGCCTCAACATCCTGTGTGTCTCCACAGGAGAAATGGCACACGTAAAGTTCAAACTAGCTAGCTTGAAGCTCTCTCAGGTTCGTTCACCTGGAACAAACAAAAACGTATGTTAAGATAATTTGCTTTTATCTATAACTGAGTTGATAATGTGAACTGGCCACATTAGAGAGTTTCAAAGCTGACGTTTCGAGTGTTAACCCTTCGTAAAAGCGAATCGTACTCTGCCGTACTCTTACTACGCATGTTCAAACTAGCTAGCTTGAAGCTCTCTCAGGTTCGTTCACCTGGAACAAACAAACACGTATTTTCACATATATTACTTGCTTTTATTTATAACTGAGTTGATAATGTAAATTGGCCACGTTAGAGAGTTTCAAAGCTGACCTTTCAAGTGTTAGCCCTTCTTTAGAGCGAATGGAAACACGTATCTAAGAATGTGTTATCCTGTTGAAAACTAAGGACTTACCAAATGAAGTATCGCAATGATTGTGTTTTTTTTTAGTGTTATAAGGAACGCACTACACTTAATTGTCAGGAGGGTCTCTCCAGCTACCTTTCAGCCTTCTTCATAGGCAGTCGTCCTTTTAAAGATCCTTGAATATAATTTTCCTGTTTATCATCAAAACATGCGGAGGTAGAGTAAGTTAAATGGGCTTGATTGTTATTTCACGATAAGCAAACGATTTAGGTATCAAATGTTTCAATGGTCGATGTCAGCATTGTTGGATAGTGACTTTTTGTTCACTGAACGCATGTTGCCAAGCAATTTCACGTGTAAATTAGCCAATTTAGCGTGACCCTTTTGGTGAACACCAATAGTAACAACCTGTCTTCGTCCGAAGTCTGATGTTTCAATTAAAAAACTGACCAAAGAAACTTTTTACCCTAACGCAAGAAATTGAATTTCAAACACTTTAACCACGAATAAGGAGAAAGGAACAAGCTGGGTACGATCAGAGATTGTTAACTGTAATATTTTTTCTTACTTTTCAGTCTGCAATGGACTTAGTATTTCTACGGTTAACTTTTACTTTTCACCTAAATCTTAATTAAGGACAGTTTATTTTTCCATCTTATTCTTGTTACACTTTTCAGGTAAAGAATACGCTGGTCTAGATATTGACTCTAAACAACCTTATTTAGGAGCCTGAACAAGGAGCCTTCCTCTCTCTTCCATTCACCCTCCTTGTCCTCCCTCCTCCCCCTACCCTCCCGGCCCTCCCTACCCTCCCTACCCTCCCTGCCCTCCCTTCCCTCCCTACCTTCCCTACCCTTCTGTCCTTCGCCTCATTTTCTCATGGTTGAAAATTAGTTTCAGACATAATTAAGACTGCGAACATGACCACACTAGTTCTTCAAAACCAAGAATGTCGTAATACACGAAGCTATAGTCTATGAAAACTTTTGCTTGTCAGCGATTGATCTAAACGGTTCACATTATTTGTTCTGAGATGTGAACAGTTTTCCGAGCAAAATTTGAGCTATCAATAGAAAAGAAGAAAATCTAAAAAATATTGAACATCGATAGACTCATTTTCAATTATGATAATACACTATTATTATTACTAAACATACAAGATCACTATTTATCTAAAATTTTGGATAAGCGGACTCTTGTTCATCTCGGTGCGAGAAGTTATTACGACTTATCTCCTTTTATTTTACGGAATTCTACGATCGCAAAACTTTTCATGAGAAAGAGTTTTTCCTAAAATCTAAACAAGAACAGATGGAAATGAACTTTACAATCTCTTGAAATGAAACAGTTATGAGTCGTATAGGCCGAAACCGTGGGCGTGTCTGTGCAATGACCTTTTAGTAGGTCGACAGAACCTCTACACATAATGCAATTTTCAAAGAATTCAAAGTTTTGAGTCCTCAGAACAAGAATCCACCACCACGATGGAGGTATTGTGACTATCATCCAAGTTGTGGTTTGACGTTGCTATGACTCCCGATGGACATTGGTTAACTTGAACATCAAACGACGATTGGCCTTGTAGGGCCTCAACATCTTCTGAAACTAGAAGAAAAAATTGACAGAAGAAGTTTTCGTTGACAAAAAAGACAACCACGTGTAATACTGACTAACAAACCTGAAGCTCTAAGTTTAACACCGTCTTATTAACTGAACGTGGCACTACTACATAGATGCACACCCATCACGAGGTAAATGCATTTACACAGGCTTGTATTTTTTGGTAAGATTACTAGTTCACTCAAAAGAACGCTTAACACCATTGCGTCAGAGGGTAATTCAGAGTATTTGCAGTTATTCTCCATACGTTACCCAAGTTATAGACGTCTAACAGCTTGACAATGTACTTACCTTTACTTTTGCAGATAAAGTTAGATGGTTGGAAAAACAAGACCAGCAAGAATCCCACCAGAGTTAATACTCCAGGCGCCATTACAAACACATGCTGTAAGTAGTTGCTAACCGCCTCATTTGAGCTGGTTCTAAATTGAATAGAGGAATTGAGGAGTTTACTAAATCGTGCATAATTTTAAAACAGTCATTACTATTTCAAATAGTCAAGGATGGCCTGGTCAAGCTGGTAAAGACAAACCTGCTGAATATACGTTTCGAGTTTTAACAAATCGGCTGGTCATCTAAACGCTTTAAATACCATGTTTCTTGTTCCTTCTAGGGTAAATTACAATAAAGATCTGATAGACCAACCTTTCTTCTGGATAAAATTCCTGTATACCAATGACAAGTACACCGCTTGAGATTCTGGCGAGTACAATGATTATGGAAAACACTGATCCACTGGTTTCCTGACAGGAAATCACCGTATTAAATCATTGATCTCATGTGGGAAACCAACATTAATACTATTATTAACGTAATTTTTAACTCCTTACCCCTAAGACCAACAGGTCTTTAATTTCTCCTCACACTGTCACTACTGAATCAAACATGTACGTCAAGAGAGAAAAAGGCAAATGATGGCCAATCAAAATAAAGGTCTTGATCGTTAGAAAAGTTCTCCTTCTTAGTATCATGGTAAATTTATAGAGAGCACTCTTGAAAATATGCACACTGATCATGGTTTTAATCAAGTTTCCAAACTCGTCTGCGAATGAAACGGTTCTTTTTCATTACCCTCTGTGATTGGCCTTAAAAACTTGCAACAATCTCTCAACCGATTAGATGTAACTCAAAATTTCCCAAACCTCAGGCAGTCTAACTGTATTTCACTTTAAATTCTCAGTAGCTGCTTATGAGATTTTATTTCGTTCTGACAGAGTTGTGATTATTTTGGAATTTTTTTTTTTTGCGACATTCAAAAGAACTTCCATGCCATTTCAATTTCAAAAATGTTAGAAAAGTACTGTAACTGAACTGATCAGATTTTGCGACTTATCCTTTCCTCGAAACCATTCAAACTTGTTTCAAAACACTAACCTTATTTTCCCCGATCACCTCGGTGATGAAGACCAGTGCCATGACGTACATAATGGACAGACCACTTCCCATCATAACCACTGGTGCATAAGTTGATTGTCTGGTGGAGAAGGTTTGAAAATAGCTCCAAACAGCGCCACCCATCACTAATAAGCTTGCCAGAAGGTAGCTCCGCTACGATATGCATATCAACGAAAGTATGAAAGTTACTAAGACTAATTAAACAAACAAATTTGTTCTGGGTTCTGTAATAAGCAAGACGCAAAGAAAATATCTGAGAATCATTTCAGGAATCGAACTCCTGACTATGGTAACTTGAGAAAAGATGGTTCATTTGTCGAGTTAAGTTAAATAAAGCCATTGAGATGATCGTTGATTTATTGCCTGCCCCTCTCAGTCAATCATTATCATCAACAAGTAGATAAGCCGACGTTTGGTGCAATCAATGAATCTCCCCCATCACAAAAGTGGAGTGACCAGTTAGAAGAAGCTGTTAATTTAGGTCTTACCTTACTTCCAATTTTCCTTTTCAGTTTCTTACACGTTGAACTTGCTAGAGAGCCACTGGTTAGGAGGACGAGTGGAAAATAAGCGGTAGCTGCCTGATTCAGGGCAAAAAATACGATGAGATTAATATAATTATCAATAACTTTAAAAACAACTGAGCACTTCAAATTGAACTATACCTTGGGGAATGATAATCTCTCTGTGAGGAATAGCGGTATATATCTGTTTACAGAGTCCTGCGTAAGGCGTGTACATGTAAAGATAATGGCTACCTGAAAATTAAAACACGAGAAAAACATCACAGAGAGTCAACGTAATCAACAAACAAAGATACTTGGAAACACGAGGGTTTACCGTGTACACGTTTGGATCTTTTAGCCAGTGTTTGATTCCTTTTGGACGTCTTCCCTCAGATGTAGAACTTGTCGATTGAACAGGGAGACCATGAAGATCAGGGTTATCCGCTGAAGTTAACGAATTATCTGTGCCATCGCAACCTTCTGTTCTTTCGATTTTTCTGACGTGCTGTTTCGGAAAATCTTGCGTACTTTCATCCAGAATCGTTTTGTTGTCAGACGTGTGATCGAGATTTAACCCTTGTCGTTCTGTTCCGTTCATTGACGGCATTTCCAGAAATCCAGAAGGATCGAAAGTCACAGACTTTCTTTGCTCCCTAACTGATGTACCGCAAAGGCTTTCCTTCTTATCATCATCACCTCCATCATCTTCAAATCCAGAGTTAGAGAGACCAAATTTACAATCATCCGGAAAAAGCACCATTCCATATTTTCTTTGCTTAAATACGGTACAAAAAGATGTCTTGGGGGCCGCGCTGTTGGTCATTTTCCACATATCTTTATCAGTAGTGTTTTTGATCTCTTCTTGCCTGGCATTCCACGACTCTTCATCAGTCGCATGATCATCGTCTATACCGTCCATTGTAACTTGGTTTTCCATGGCACCAACACATGTTGGATGTTTGTGCTCTTCGTGTTGTAGTCTCAATAGGATGTCGTCAAAATCAAGCGTTCGTAGACTCTTCTTGCGTTCACTATCAAGATGCTGTACTTCTAGATCAGTTTTCCCGTCGGCAAACATAGCAACAGCAAACTTCTGCAGAAGACTTCGTTTCCTGATACGCACTTCACCGCTTTTGGTTTCTCCACATCCGTTCATCTCACTTTGATATTCTTCATATTCAGTTGAAGCCATAACCATGTCAGTAAACTTAAAAGCAAGACTGGTCCGTCTAGAATCTTGAGAAAAAAACAAAACAAGCAATTAACGAACGTCTAATCTTCTAATCACTAATCTTAATCTCCAATTGACATGCGCTTCTGAACTAGATATTTTGCTTTAAAGAGGACGTTGTCTAAACATTTCAAGCAAAATTGGTGCTGTGTTTAGATAGGACCACCTGTATCAAACTTGTGGCATGCCTGCACACAGTCGTGGCTGATATATTCTCAAAAATATCGAGACAACAATACCCTAGATATTAAGGAGCTCCATGCAAAAATAAGACCTATCCCCCTTGAGATAAAGACGAGTAGTGTTTTTCATTTTTGTAGTTCAGTTTGATGTCGGAGAGGACGTTACATCTGCAATTTTAATCGAAACAACGACGGCTTTTAAAATAATACACCAAAGCACATATCCATAGACTTACTTGCATTTTCGAGTCCAAACTCTTCAATGAATTTTCCAGGAGCTTTCTGCAAAATAACGGGAAAGTGGCCAGAGTGAATTACGGATTTCTTTAAATAATGTGTAAACCATACCTCTATCCCTCTGGTCACGCTATGTAACTTCAAGACCCGTTCAGATTAATAGACCTCTTGTAGATAAATCAAATGAAGAACGAAGAAACAATCGCGCAAGCGCGCCTCTATTAGTTCCATGGTGTTGTCTGTTCTCCTAACACAAAAATAAGCTTTTACATGACCTTTATTTGAAAAGGAAATATCTTTTTTGCTTCCTGTCTTACCGTAAGATCCGTTGTGGCGCTTTCTTTACTCTGACATTTTTGAGGTTCCTTTGTACCAATGTGGAAGATGACTGCAAAGAAGAGTCCTGTTCCAGTAGCAATCCACGAGAGGTGCTGTTTAGAAAAGAATTAATCAACTAGGATTTTAACCCTTTAACTCCCAGAAACGATTAACTTGTAACCTCTCCCTGTAGTAAACATACATTCTCCAGCTGATAAGAAAACTCATTTTTTATGAAGTTTTTATCTTGATCTAACACTAAATTCTGAAAATTAATTCACAAGGAAATGCAAAGCAGCTCCAGGAGAGAATTGACAGTCAGCTCTTGAAAGTTGCAAGATTAAGGACAAAAAAAAGATTTTTAATGCCTGCAGAGATGTGTGGAAGGAGGCTAAAAGGCTGACAGGCAGTGCAGGGAGAGAAAACAAAATTTCTCCAACCCGTTTTTTAATTGCGTTGTTTTTCTTTTTTTAATTTCATTGTATTGAGCCTCCGCCTGTTTGTCAAAGCATATCGTAGAATAGAACTATCAACGAAGCTGTTGCTTACCACAAAATCCACAAGGATCTGGGGTCCCAGAGTATCGCTATTGTCTTGTCCGAAAAGGCCCCAGGCGATCACGTATATGTAAATACCACTAAGGAAGCTGAACATTGTCCTTTTGAACAAGAAAAAGAGAAGAATAAGGAAAATTGTTCTTAGATGTCACGCTTATCATTTCTACAGGATAAGTTAGGAAAAAACGGCCTCAGAGTGTCCGTGCATCAGCTGAGTTATATAAAAGTAATACAAGTGATTTATACAAGTATATTTAAAATAAATACGATTGCCGTATGAACTATATTTCTTAAAAAAAGTCTCTTGAAGCAAACCTCATGGCACTAATGTACATTCTCGACGGATTCAGTTACAGTTGTAATAAAGATAATTTATCTCAACAGTGCTCACACAAATGTTGTACACCGAGATCAAGAAGATGTACTAGACAATTGGAAGCCACTCACTATGATTTCTATTACAAGAAAAAAAGGTGAAAGAAAAAAGGAATGATAATTCTCATTAAAACTATTATCAAAAGGTGCCAAGATTTTCGCTCGCCGGGATTCTTTGAAAGAAAACATTTAACTGAAAAATTAAGCTGCCGGCAGACGTCTTTGAATAAATTTCCTACCGCGCCCAATAGCTGTTCTCTTGTCTGCATTTTAACCAGAAAGTAGACGCAACCAGTCTATATGAAAACTTCGCAAATTAGTTGGATAGAGATTCAACATAATTATCTTGAATCATGTACAAGTTAACTTGATGCTGTGCTTAATTAAATGCAACCTCAAAAGTAAATCCCTGCGTAATTGACCGCTTGAAACTTCATAGGGTCTAAGAATTGAAGCAATTGACACGAAACCGGAAGCCTCACATAGGAATACAAGTTGAAGTCCAGTATGGCCAGTAACGTCAATCAACGGCTGAATGTATGATAAAAACTTATGAATCTGTACGAAACTTAATTTCACATGTGTGTGAGCAATTAAAATGGAGGTCTGAGCAGACTTACGCATAGCTAGAAGGTTTTTCATCAAATTATTGTTATTTCTTATGACTTTTACGAAGCAAGAGGCAGTGGTACTTAAGTCAACCGATTTACGCTTACATTAGCGTTGCAATGAAAAGTAAGTTCAGGAGAGACTGATTACGAAATAAAAACTTTGCGTCATCATCTGATTATCAAAATTATCACATAATGACGCGCTTCCGTTATATTATAGATCAAAGGTGCCGTCAAAATGTGCTCGTGGCAATCGCGGCGCAGCCGAGTGTATAATTGATGTTCTTACCACATTTTGACATATTATGTGATCTTGAACTATAAATCCATGTCAACGTGTAATCTGTTTGTTTTAGGTAATAAAAACGCAAAATTGTGCGGATGGCGACCTAAACTATGCGTCTGTCCTCCAATAGATCTTTGGTAAGAGCCAAAAAAGATAGGTGAACGGTTTACTTTAATTTAATATAATACTTTTCAAAATAGCAAACCTGATGGCGCTAAGATCTGTTAGTTCTTCAACCGACACAGCTGAAGTTGTGATGAAAGCCAGGTGATTTATCTCCACCACGCTGAAACACATGTTATACAGTGAGTACAAGAAACAGTAAGAGACGGTGGGAAGCCAAGTTTGATGACTTCCACTACAGAGAATGCAACGGTTGACGCAGAGAGGAACTACGATTCCCATAAATACCGTTGCCACAAGATGCCAAGATTTTCGCATTCCAATTTTCCGTGAAAGAACGGGTACTTTAACCATATCGCCGAGGTAACCAGAGATTACTGAAGTCAACCCGTCTACAATTTGTCCAGTGAGTATAATAAGTCCAGTGTCTGCAGCTGAAAGTTCCACTACCTCCATGAAAAACAGAAGAGAAAATGAAAACATCGACTTGCAAAGGTCATTGAATATACTTCCCGCTGCACACAGTAACATTTCTCTTGTACGCATTGTAAAATCGAGTCTCCTTGGTCTGGACACGCACACTCTCTCTCTCTCCCTCACTTAAGAATGCTTCGATTCTATGGGAAGCCCATTTCTTCCACTTTTATATGGGTGTGTGACTAAGGGTCAGTATAACTGCCAAAAAAACTGATGATTGATGATAAGTAGACTAATTATTGAAATTTCCATGATTGAAAGGAAGTTGATTGAGAAACATTGATGGAAATTCGACTAAGTCTCGTTCCAGGCCACCTCCCATGACCTACATCTGGCCGATTATTAAGTAGTGCTTTTAAAACATTGAGATTGGAAATGAGTCTACCATCTCTTTGGAAGAAGAAATATGAACTGAATAACCTCCTTCGAACAAGGAGTCATCGTTACTTAGATATCCAAGTAACATGTTTATATAGTCAGTGAACTGACCCTACGTAATTGGAAGTGCCAAAACTAAAATGGTCACCATAACTACAGGCTGAAACGCGATACTTCCCACTGCACACAGTAACATGTCTCTTGTACGCATCGTAAAAACGAGTCTCCTTGATCTGAACACGCCACTCTCTCTCTTCCCCAATTATGAATGCTTCGATTTTATGGGGAGCTTGTTTCTTCCACATTTATATGGGAGTGTAACCTTCCCACTTGACAAGGAAATCATGCACCAATCACAGCTTACTTTTTCTCTTCCAGATAGCCAATCATATCAACATAGTCTTAGTTTGGTTTCCTACCCCAGCCCTCACTCGAAACGCATTAAGCTAATCTTTTGCGTCGTTTGAAAACTTGTAGATACTATAAATGAGTGCTATTTTTCTTTGCAGTTTTCTTGACTCTTTTAAGATAGATAATATTTGGTTTCTCCATTGAAAATCATAGTAGATTGTGAAAGACCACAAAAATTTACCTTGATGTCTGGTGCAATTTGTATCCCCAGTAAATTTTTTGTTCATATTACACACACAATAAATTGATCTTGCCTAGAGGAATTCGCTAAACCATAGATTGACCCTAGAACTTGGCTATAGCTTATTATTCTTGGCTATAGCTTAATACTCGTGAGAGTCATCAAATTGAAAAAGATCAAGGTTGATGATAAGTAGACTACTTATTGCAATTTCCATAATTAAAAGGAAGTTGATTGAGAAACATTAATGCATAAACATAAAATTCGACTAAGTTTCGTTCACCGCCACCTCCCATGACCAACATTTGGCCGATTATTAAGTAGTGCTTTTAAAATATTGACATTGGAAATGAGTTTACCATCTCTTTGGAAGAAGAAATATGAACTGAATAACCTCCCTCGAACAAGGAATCATCGTTACTTGGATATCCAAGTAGCATGTTTATATGGCCAATGAACCGACCCTACGTAATTGAAAGTGCAGAAACTAAAACGTTCGCCATAATTACAGGCTCAAACGCGACTGATTTTGGCTTGTTTTGAGTCATTGATCCAAATTAGAATAATTTAGAGTTGTGGATTGCAAAAGCAATTATTTGAAGTGAAATGCAGTTTCAAACCATCTGTTCACTTTCAACTTTCTTTCATATGCTGGCAATTTAATCTCAAGCAAGTAATTGCAGTATGTCCTTCTTGAAAGACAATTGTTAGACAAGGTAGTTCTATTCGAGCAACCATTGTCTGAGGTCTCCATCAGTAAAAATACTGCCGTCTCAGAACTCAAACATCCCGTAACCATCAACGTAACTGTACCATAACCTTGTGTATGGTTTATGCCACAAAACCCACGCATATTATATTTCTGAAAAGAAATTATTAGAATAGTTTTTTGTCATCAGAAAAAGAATGTTCCGCAGCGACGGAAGAGTTTTGGTTTAGCGTTGCTTTGTGTCGGAGAGAAGCTGAGTAAGTGCAACATCAAACAATAGTTGATCTGCTTGAGGCTAAACATCCTGTTTGTCTCCACAGGAGAAATGGCACTCATAAAGGTTATACATTGGAAGGCATACAACAATATATGAAATAACACTCCAAACCTACTTTCAAAAGCATAGGAAATAGAACGAAAAGCAGAGAAAGTCTTTGCGTGGGTATACGGTATCTTGCGTAAAAGAATAAATTTTTGTGACCATTCGCTTGGAGAGGAGTCTGCGTATACACAGTCATTCTGCATAATTACCATTATGCTACACAGGCATGTGAATTTAGAAATAAATCAACGTTTTTACCTTTCGTTTGGAAGAAAACTTTTGACGGTTGAAGAAGCAAAACCAGTAGGAATACCACAAAACAGAATACTTCAGACGCCATTGCTGACACATTTTGCACGTTGTTGCCAACAACCTCGTTTGAGCTAATTTGAATCGAGAGTAGGGAATTGGGTACATCAGAATATGGTAGATTTAAAAAAGGTTTAAAGCAAAAGAAAAAAATTGTAAAGGTAAACTCGAGCCAAGAGGGCATTTTTCTGTGCAAAGTGAACATGAAATTGAATTCATATTTCGAGTCCTCAAAAATTCAATAAATTTGCATCGTACCTTCAATTTTTAATTTGAGTAATGGCCAAACTAAAAGAGACTCTTGCCGGGCGGTCATTATATAACTACACCGAAATTAGAAATTTACAGAGTGCTGTTCTATTATGGAAAAAAAAGAAAGGTTCTGGGAAAATTTAGATTGATTTTCAGTTTTGTTTTAGTGTTTATTTTGCATTGGCTAGGAAATGGATGCGATTTAGAGAAAAGAAAAATGGTGCGATTCGCGACCCCAGTCAGATTGCAGGAATCAGCAGGGATTTTCGAAGTGAATGTAATGTGCGCATTTATTCTGCATACTCTGTCTGCTGGTTCACAATACTTGGACCCTTGAAATACGGTTCGAGGTCTCTAAGCAAAATCTTTCTAGAAATCTCTTTAGAAAAAAGAGCGCTATGTAAATTGACGGTAAAAACGAAAGCTCGATTGGAAAATGTCTTTTCAGTGGCCTGCACTCGAAAAATAGCTAAGGCAAGACAAATTTCCGAGCTATCTTTGCGATGTACCAGTGTTGTAACAAATAAGAAATGTCGGAAAGTATATGTTTGTTTTCAGTAATTGAGCTGTAAGTTCACTGTAAGTTTTGTCAGATTTTCTTTCCTTGGGTCACGTATCCTGTCCTGTGTAAACGCATTCATGAATATATTCAGTCAGACAGATTTACTCAATCAAGTCAATTAGGCTCTCCGAAACCCAGTCAGGTATGGTGAATTGGAACAACCAGACACTCCTTTGGCTCATAGCTAGCAAGGTCAACAAGCTGGAAAATTTTTGCGTTGCTTTTAATGTCCACGTACATTAAGAGAAAGCAACCCATTTTTCTTGCGACTAATTTTGATACCACACAACCATAGAATCGAAACGTTTCAACAAAGGAAAAGAATGGAAAACCATTGGAGACAAAAGGCCCTGATTCCCTCTTTCGTCCTTGACCGTCCTTTTTCTACGCATGCTCAAACTAGCTAGCTTGAAGCTCTGTCAGGTTCGATCACCTGGAACAAACAAACAAGCACGTACGTTAAGATAATTTGGAATTATTTATAACTGAGTTGATAATGTAGATTGGCCACGTTAGAGAGTTTCAAAGCTGACGTTTCGAGTGTCAGCCCTCCGTCAGAGCGAATGGAAACACTTATCTAACATTGCCTTATCCTGTTGAAAACTGAGGACGTCCAAATGAAGTATCACAATGATTGTCTTTTTTTTCAGTGTTATAAGGAACGCACTACCCTTAATTGTAACTCAATTGTAAGGAAGGTATCTCCAGCTGCCATCCAGCCTTTCTCATAGACAGTCGTCCTTTTAAACATCACTGAGTATAGTTTTCCTGTTTATCATCAAAACATGTGGAGGTAGAGTAAGTTACATGGGCTGGAGCGTCATTTCATGATAAGCACACGATTTGGATATCAAATGTGTCAATGCTCGATGTCAGCATTGTTAGATAGTGACTTTGTTTACTGAGCACGTGTTGTCACGCAATTTCACGCGTAAAGTAGCTAATTGAGCGTGACCCTCGTGGTGAACACCAGCTGGATAATGACAAACACCAATACTAGCAACCTGTCTTCGTTCGAAGTCTGATGTTCTTATTAAAATAATAACCAAAGAAACTTCTTACCCTAACGTAAGAAATTGAATTTCAAAGCACTTTAACTAAAATAAGGAGAAAGGAACAAGCTGGGTACGATCAGAGGGTGTGAACTCTAATATTTTTTTTACATCTCAGTCTGCAATAGACTTAGTATTTCCACGGTTAACTTGTATTTTTCACTGAAATCTTAAATAAAGATTCCTCTGTTTACATCTCATGGTCTAGATATTGACTCTGAACAACCTTATTTCGAAGCCTGAAAAAGGAGCCTTTCTCCCCCCCCCCTTCCCTTCGTTTTAACCCTTCCTACCCTCCTTGTCCTCCTCGCCTCGCCTCATTTTCTCATGTTTGAAAGTTAGTTTCAAGCATAATTAGGACTGCGAACATTATCATACTAGTTATTCAAAATCAAAAATATCATAATATACATATCATGTAACATGTCCGCCATTGATCTAAACGGTTCACATTATTTATTCCGAGATGTGAACAGTTTTCTGAGCGCGAAGTTCGAGGAAAACTTTGAGCTATCAATAGAAATCAAGAAGATCTAAACAATTTTGAACATCGATAGACTCATTTTCAATTAAAATACTATGCTATTCTTATTATTATTATTAAACTACACGATAACTATTTATCTAAAATTTAGCAAAAGTAGACTCTTGTTCATCTTGGTGCGAGAGGTCTTTACGACTTGCCTGCTTTTTATTTTACGGAATTCTACGATCACAAAACTTTTCATGTGAAAGGGTTTTTCCTAAAATCTAAACAAGAACAGACAGAAAACGAACTATACTATCTCTTTGATTTTAACTTGATTGTTGAAAATGAAACAATTAGCAGTCAAATCGTGTAGGCCCAAATCGTGGGTCTATCTGTGCAATGACCTTTTAGTAGGTCGACGGAG